ACTTTCAGTGGGACGTAAAAACGGTTTTATTCAGCTTTAAAGGGGCCACTTAGTCCCAAAACATGTGTTCATATTAAAGAGAATGTTAAAAAAATAACGTATGAGCAAATTTTTTTAGATTAAAACTTATTAATACCAAAAAAAATTATACCAAGAAAAAAATTTATTATACCAAGAAAAAAAAATCTTGTTGTTTTAGTTGAAGCTTGTTTTCTTCATTTTCTGCGGTATTTGAATTCTTTAAAGTAAACGCAATTTTCCAGGCTCATTATACAGACTTGATGATTTATTCAAGTGCGTTTAATTCATAGAAGTTTTAGTATATGACGTCACTGGAAACATTCTAGAAATTCTTTAAAAATTTTACTATTAAATTTTACTAAAATAGCTAACTATAGTTAGTTTTTTTGTAGCTATCAGAGCCGTGGCTACATGGACCATGGCGATTGTGGATCTAGGGACCCCTATGGCGCCAAATCAAGTTATATAATATCTCCGATGATTCACGAGTTCTTTACATTTTGATGTAAGTTGTTTCGACAAATCTAACAAACAATCAATTAAACCTAGCACTAGGAAGAGATATAAAAAATAAGAATATGCTAATAAAATATGTAATATTAAAATTGAAATATCTCGGGAACCATTTAACATTTTGAGCCAAAAATATTAGTGTGAGCTTTTCTTGGGAGCATGCAACAGCCAAAGAAGTTTGAAAAAAATATGACCCATAGTTCAAAATTACATAAATATTGGTTGATTTGATGTGGAATCACTCAAATAACAATAAAGTTACAACCCTCAGAATTATGCCAACTTAAAAGTGTTAATAAATTGCTGACCTCAAACATATTAAGGTCGACATTACCAAATGCTGACCCTAGTTCCAAGGGTTGTAGTTTAAAATATTTGTAAAAAAATGTATTAAGTTAAAAATCTTTATTGAAAAAAAAATCTAATAGTTTTTAATGTTAATACATAGTAGAAGTAAAAATAGTTTTTTTTTTTTTTTTTTTTTTTTTTTTTTTTTTTTTTTTTGATGTGGTGTTTTACTAACTTAATGGTGTAAATATGAATTGTATTTGTCACCATTAGTTTTTCAAATTTTTATATGTTTTATGTAAGGTAAAAATTATGTAATGTTTTATGTTAAAACATACATAATAAAATGTTTTAAAAAATTTCTATAGTTTTGCGATGTTAATACAAAAGAAGAAATGTTATCAGAACTTTCTAAAAAAGCTGATCATATTGCAAAGCTAGAAAGAAAAGTCAATGGTATATTTATTTGTTTATAAGCAAAAATATATGTCTCATTTTTGTTATTTATTATTATATTTTTACTTATTTGTTATATATTTGTATTTTTTAAGAAATGGCAGATGCATTTATGGAACAAAAAAGGCAGAGGGATAGACTTGAAGAGTCTTTAGAAAATATTAAAAATGGTATCTTTTTATAATATATTTAGATATTCAATTTTATATTTTTTATGTTAACTATAATATTAAAAGTTGACCAAGGAAACAACTAACTACTTTTTTCTCAATTGTCATCCATATTCACATGTTCAATAACAGGTTAGTATTAAGTTCTCTATGGGTCTTTGCCGTACTCTATCCTTCTGAGTCACTATTATACTCTGTCATATACTGTTATATATTTGCTTTTTGAATTAATATTCTAAATAAGCTATTGCATGTGTGTGTAAAAATAAGCTTACAAATTTAAAAGTTCTCTAGTATCTTGAAAGAGAAAAGTTATTTTAAATTAGGTCAATTTCGGTCTCAAAGCATTTTATAAAAAAAATTTTAAAAAAGTTTCTGATTAGAGTAAAACAAGATGTTATGAAATTATAAAAATATCTTTTACTCTGAATTATTGAAGTTTATTATATTAAAAAGTTTATTTTATTAAATCAATTTTTGCTCTGAACTGTTAAATAAAGTTTTGGCAAATGTTTTTCAACCACGTTTTATAGAATCAATTTTTGAAATAAAATGAAAATGAAATTTTATTTCAAAAAAAAAAAGATTAATTGTTACATTTTCAATTGTATAATAATTTTTATTTGTATAATAATTTGTTTATTACACAACTGTAATTTTAATAATATGTCAGTTTTAAAAAGTTTAGCCCAAATTTTTTCAACAGTTTTATAAAGAAACAAAGTTCAGCAACTTATCACAAAATTGTCACTGAATTTCATAATACCTGTTTGTTTCCTCCTGAATCTCACTAACAACATCTAACATCATAACAAATTAACTGAAAGTCAGCTCAAATGTCAACTTGTCAACTTCAATTTTACAGTAATTTTTGGTTAAAAAACAATTGCAATCAGCTTCAAGTTTCTTGCTTCAACTTTGCAGCATATGTTTTGCAACCAACATTCTAAACTTGAAACTAAAAGTAAAAAATCAGCCAAGCAAGCTGGAAAACATATTCTTAACTTTGACGACGGGTAGCAAATAATTAAGCAGCAACTCGAACAACAATATAAATAGTAATACCTAAAGTGCCACTCAAAGCATTGTTATAGTCATTTTTAGGTAAAAGCATTTGTGGTTTTGGAGAAATCTCAATTTAAAGTTGACCGGATTTTTCTGTGTCCACCTGATATATATATAAGAGATAAGGGAAATAATGTTGAATCAAGATAACTTGTGTAGTTGTTAAAAGATGCTAACAGAGTCAGTTTTTTAGGTTTGGCTCAAACTTTTTTTATGCTCTCTTGTCTAAACTCTCATCTAGATTAAAAGCAGGAGCTTGAAGGGCTTTATGTGTTTAAAAGTATCATTTTGTTTATAATGATGATTGAAACTCACTTATTCCTGCAAAAAATTTATTTGCTTTTACAAAAACTTGAGTTCAAGGTAGTATAGACTCTTGCCTAACATGATCAATAGCTCTTGTTATTCTTATTTTAAAATTTGCTAATTAGTTTGGCCAACTCTAGTGTCTTTCCTTAAATTACATTTTTTAGTAACATAAAAGATAGTCTAAAGTTTTTCATACAGCATCTTTGTTCTTTCCATGATCTTTTGATCAAAAAAAGTTTAGTTATGTTAAATTTTTAATTAGGTTGTTTGAACTTAATGAATTAGACATTATTAGATCTTTTCATTCTTCAGCTGATTTGCTATCAGTAATAACCGATAGTCCTTATTGTGCATTAGATATATATGGAAAGGTTAAGGCTATCACTCTTGACATTTCTAAAGCTTTTGGTAAAGTTTGGCAAGTTGGTCTTCTCCGTAAGCTTTCTTCTTACAGTGTATCAGGTAACATCTTTAAGATTATTGCATCCTTCTTTTCCAATCATAGTATAAAAAGTCCCCTTGATGGACAAGACTCTTCTTTATATTCTGTAACTTCAGGGGTTCCTCAAGGTTCTATCCATGGCCCTATACTCTTTTTAATTTACATTAAAGATACTTCAGATATTCTTACATTTAAGATGGCATTGTTCGCTGATGAATCTACCATTTATTCTTGTCTTGATAAGAAGCCAACACTCTCTTATTGCTTGGAGGGGGCATTTGCGCTTGAAAAGGATCTCACTTCTGCTACATCATGGGGCTCACAGTGGCTAGTAAACTTTAATTTAGAAAAAACCCAAGTTTTTTTAGCCAATCGTTATCCCAATAGTCTAGATCTTCCTATATTTATGAATGGTAATGTACTGGATGAGTCATCTACCTTTCAATTTCTAGGATTAACTCTTCCGTAATTTTTCTTGGAAACGGTATATCAAATTGATTGCAAAATAAGCATCTGCTAAAGTTGCATCTCTTTACTGTGCTTGTCACTTTCTTATTCCAGATTCTATTCTTTATTATTATAACTCTCAAATCCATCTTTGTATAGAATACTGTTGCCATATCTGAGGTGTTGTATAGAATACTGTTACCATATCTTCTAATGATGCCCTGTTTCTTTTAGTCAAGGTGCAAAAACACATTGTAAACATAGTTAGACTTGCTCTTGCAGCCAACCTCCAACCATTATCATGTTGTAATGTTGCTTCTTTTTTACTTTTCTTTAAATGCTATAGTAGGCACTGCTCTAAAGAGCTAGCATCTCTTGTGCCATCAACTTAAATTTTCGTGTTACTTGTCATTCAATTAAGTCTCATCCTTTTACTGTGACTGTTCCTAAGTGCTCCTAAAATTCTTATCTAGTTTTTTTCCACGAACATCATTTTTTTTAAATTTGCTTTCTTCATCTTGCTTTCCTGATTCGTATAATTTGCAATCTTTTAAGTCGTCTGTCAATTGTCATTATGCTCTATAAACTTCATCTTTCTTTTGCAGTAACTTCCAACTCAAATAGTGGTTGCTTGCAGCCTTGTTGAAAAAAAAATTAATAAAGGTATTTTAGCTTGATTCATTAACTTGCTTTTAATCAAAGTCTACATTTGTTGTTAACATTTAGCCATTTTATGCTTTTAAAAAAATTAATATAGATCATTAGTGTAATGTTTACAACTTAAACAATCACAGAAACTAGAAAACACGTTATTTATAAATCACAGGCACTAGTCTAACAATGTGGCTGTTGCTAGTATTTTTTCATCCCTTGTAATAAACTACTAACAGAGAAGCTACTGCAGACTAATTATATTTGTTTTTTATTTTTTAAAGAAATGCTTACCAGATCGGCTGCATCATTAAATGATTCTTTAAAGCGTGTTAAAGAAGATTATGAACAAAAGCTTACTGAAAAAGATCGCCAAGTTAAAGAATATATTCAAAAACATCAACAGGTGTTTTTTTTATTGTTGTTTGTTTTTTTATTGTTGTTTTGTTCAATTTCTGAATAAAATTTAGTTAATAAATTTTTTGAGGTATAAAAAAAAAATGTAGTTTCTCAAAAAAGTTTGTTTATTGTTGCTTGCTTATGAGTTATAGCCATATCATATTAACTTCAGTGTTTAAATTCTCCAAGGGAGAAATCAAGCGGTAAATTTTGAAAGATTTTGAGACCCAAATAATATGTTTTTGGGGGAGGCCTCCAACCCATTAGCCACGGCACTGCTAAAACCTGTTTTTTTTATATAAAAGGTGGCATGTGTGCATGGGCACCCGCAGGATATTTTGATGTTCTAGATAAAGTGTCCGCTTTCACACATTTAGCATAGGTATTCTATGCCAAATTAGCATAGGTATTCTATGCCATTAAGCATTGGTATTCTATGCCATTAAACATAAGTATGCCTATCCCAAATGTGTGAAATTTGTGCAAGCTCTAAAATTTAAGTTTAACTATGCCAAATGTAGAGGCCTTGCAAAAAATTGGGATGACAGAGACCTAGGAACAAAAAAGCCCAAAAACACTTGCCCACCACCCCCTTACCCACCCCACCCCTCAGCTTAAGGGAATTAATGTAGTAAAGTTTTAACTTCAACATCTAAATTTAAATTTATCAACAGCTTCAAAATTTCGTAGAAAAATATTGTAAATTATATAAGTTATGACCATATAAAATTTACACCCCTCCTCTTTTTTTTAGGGGGGCGTTTCAGGGCTTTTTTGCTTCCCAGGCTTCCGCCTTCTTTTTTTTTTGCAAGGCCTCCTTGTTTAGCATAGGTATAAACATACTTAAGTTTGCACAATGTGTGAAAGTGTCCTATCTGTAACATCAAAAAATCCTGCGGGCCTATCTTAAAAAAAAAATGTCCTTATCTTAAAAAACTTTTATTTAAATATAGTTGAGTTTCTAAATGGTCAAAAAAAAACTGTTGACATTTTTTTTTTCAACATTTTGGTTTTAAGAAAATCTTTGCATACTACTCATAATCATTTCTAATCAACATTCATTCTATGAACAATTCAAAAAAATTAACGATAAAGAAAAAACTTTTGTTAAAATGCAATTTCAAATTTAAAAAATCCTCTTTTCATAAATTTGTTATAAAGTTTACTAAAAAAATTTAATAACTTTGCTTACAGACTTGATTATGGTTTATCATGCAATGCATTTATATACAGTTATAAGTGTATTAACTAATTTTGTATATTAGCACTTTTCGAACAGAATGAATAAAAAATTATTGATTTGAAAGTAAATAAATAAACAAAATAGTTGAATGTAATACAAACATTTTAAATTAACTTGAATTAAATTTATTTTAAAAAACTTTTTTTTCTTTAACATTGTTTGGAAATTTTAGCAGTAAATTGTAAAATGGAGCGTTATCAATTTTTTTTTTTTTAATTTAATTTCATAATTTTAATAAATATATATTTAATAATATCTAATAATAAACTTAATTTAAATATAATCAAATAAATTGAAATTAAAATTTTTATTAAAAAAAGGGAAAATAGAAAGAAATAAATATCTGTTTTTATTGTTTGTTTGTTTTTTATCTAATAAAAAAATATTTCACAAATATTTTTTACAATTAATTACTGCTTATTATTTTCCGTATAAAATATTTTAAAAAACTGTTTAAATAATTCATTGAAAAATTTTTGGCATAACGTAAATGGCTTAAAGCATAAGTGAAGTTGCCATTATGTGTGTAAAGTTCAAATGTATTAAACAGTGCTTCTTAACAAGGCCTGTTATGGCAACATGATTTTTGAAGTGTACTAAACAATAACATGCTGCATTTATTTAGTAATTAGTTGTATTTGTAAATTTTAATCAACTTAATATATTTTAGCTTATAGTCTTTTTATATTATAGGAATCTACTAGGTTCTCTGATGTAAAGGAGTTAAATAAGCTGCAACAAGAAGAAGTTGCAAAAATGAAAGGAATGGTATGTAAATAGTTTATAGCAGTTAAATCTTATGTATTAAATATTTGTTTTATATATATATATATATATATATATATATATATATATATATATATATATATATATATATATATATATATATATATATATATATATATCTGTGTGTGTATCAAGGGTTAAATTAAGTGATTGCAAATTGCAATGGGCCAAAGCCATTTAGCTATCTTGAAAGTACAAGGCTCGAATGAATTCAATCATGAGTTACAATATCTGGAAATATTTCTGGTCATTAAATTCTCAGTTACTAAAAATCATTAACACTGTTTTAATGACACTGTCAGTTTATCATATTGCAAAAATTAATGAAAAACAAAATAAGTTTGCTACTGCAAAAATAATAACAGTCAAAACTTACATATTTTTAATTAGTTTAAACACTAGGTAAGTTAAAAATTATAAATAAATAAAAAAGTTATAAGAAAAAAAAATTTGCGCAGTTATTTAAAAATCAACCAATAAAAAATTATACTATTTGCGCAATGTATGAAATATTAAAATTGAGGGGAAAGTTTAGGGGAAAACTGTGAGAAATTATTTAATTAAAAATTTAAATAATTTGAATTAAAAATTAATTGATAATAACAAAGCTATACTTTAAAATAAGTTGTTGGAGTTTTTTTTGTTTTGTTTTAAAATAACAATAAAAATTTTAAATTAGTTTTTATAAATTTTTAAACTCCTCTGTCTTTAATTTTGTATACATATCTGTTACAAGCATTTAGTTCACAAGAAAAAATTGAATAAGATATAAAAGTTTATTATGTCATACTTATTTATTACATTGTGCTTTATTTTTCTAGTTATATCTAACCATTCATTAAATGAATTTAAATATTAAAGTTTGAATAATAATTCTTAATAGTAAAAAAAATAAAAATAATGATAAAAGTAATAGTAACAATATGGTTTTACTATGAGATTAAAACCATATTATTAATTAATAACAAAACCATAATTCAAGATCAATATATCAACCCTCGCTAATAGGAAAAATGGGGTCGGCAATAATTTGCCAACCTTGATCTTTTAGAGGTCGGCATTAGGTTGGCAAAAAAAAATTTATACAAAGATCTTACCATAAAGCATAGAAACCTTGATCTTTTAGAGGTCGGCATTAGGTTGGCAAAAAAAAATTTATACAAAGATCTTACCATAAAGCATAGAAATGAGGTCGGCAATTTTTTGCCAACCTCAAACACTTTTAGATCAACAGTTAGGTAAGTATTGCCAAATGCCAACCCTAATTCCGAGGGCTGGTATATAGATATTTTATATTGAATAACAGCTATTGAGTTTAATGATAGTAATACAATTTCTATATTGCTTTAAATGAAAAAAGGTTTTATGTTTTAAAATAATGTTGATAAAAAATAACCTGGTCAGACAAATAGTACTTTCTATGGACAGCTAATTTTAAAATTAAAGTGTACTCAAAATTAAAGTGTACTTTTTCCAACCACGAGTATCACTTAAAAATGCTTGTCATTTAAGTTTGTTTATTTGTTTATGCTTTGGAAGTTGATTAAAGTAGTAATGAGCTTTTATTTACCTCATTTCTATTTTTATTTTTTTTTAATTTTGGCATATAACAATGAGTATTTTTATCCTGTATTTGTTTTACCTGTATTAACATCTGCTTTATACAAATAATGTTTAATGTATATATATATATATATAAAGTTCCAGGACATTTCAGGACATTTTTTTCAAAAATGTCCTATAATGTCCTGGAACTTTTTTTTTTCTGAGTCAAGTTGAAAAATTACTAAGAAAATTAAAGTAATGTTAAATTTTTTATGCGAAATTTTTTTTTTATATAAATGGTTTGAATTTAATTTTAAATAAGAGAGTAGTAATTGTATAATAATATAATATTCTATTCTATAATTAAATCAATATGAAAAAAATATATCGTAAAGATAATTGATAATATTCATTTAATAAGATATAAAATGTCCTGGAAAATGCAACAAAATGTCCTGGAATGTCCTGGAAATATCCTGGAATTTAACTTTTAAAATTTTGTGGCCACCATGTATATATATATTCATATATATGCATAATTTAAGTGACATCTTAAATAGTATGTGTAATAATATTATAAGCATTAAAACATATAAGGTATCATATTATTTATCTCTTTTTTTCAAGTGATATTTTAGTTCATATAGTGAGAGCCTTTATCAAACTAATAAAACCGTTTATTAGTTTGATAATGGCTCTCACTATATGAGCTGAAATATCACTTAAAAAAAGAAATAAGTAGTATGATACCGTATATGATGTTTTAATGCTTATAATATATATATATATATATATATATATATATATATATATATATATATATATATATATATATATATATATATATATATATATACAGTGGTTTTCATAAATTTAGACGCACTCATATTTGAAATATGAGAATAGAAATTTTTAGTTTTTAACGATAAAACAATGACGAAAAAAGATTTCGGTTTAGTTTTTTTCTATTTATTAGATAAATACATACAGAATACAAAATTTAAAAAAAGTTTACAAAAAAAAAAAGAAATACTAAGTAATAATTAGGTACAACTACAAGGTATTAAAAAAATTAGAAAAAAAAAAATATTCATAAATTTAGACACACGATACATTAGAAGGCGTAATTTATGAACCAATCAATATTTTGTGTATCCGCTTTTTGCTTTAATACAACTAAGAACTCTTCTAGGCATAGACTCAACAAGATTTTTGCACATCGCTTCTAGGACCCCATACCAGGTCTTCTTAAGGAATTCCTTCAGCTGACCAAGTGTGGAAATTTGAACCTTTGCTAATTCAAGGTCAATCCAAGCCCAAATGTTTTCAATCGGGTTCAAATCAGGTGAGTATGGAGGCCACGGTATTGTCATGATATTATTATTGTTGAACCACTCTTTTTTATAGTATACAGTATGTGCAGTAGTGCCATCTTGTTGAAGTTTCCATGGTTTATCATAGAGCATAAGCAGGTCAATTGATGGAATTAGTTTGTTTTCCAGTACTTCTACGTATATTCTGGAGTTGATTCTTCCGGTGTATGTTTGGCGCATACCAACACCTTTGTAATTGAAGCATGACCAGATTCCTATCGAGCCTCCTCCACTTTGTACAGTCCGTCTAATGTACCTGGCGTAATACTTTTCGTGAGCCATTCTTTTGACTGTTATGTTAGATTTGCGATTGATAAGCTCTAAGTTACTCTCATCACTTCTCATAATGTTTTCCCATTGTTCTACTGTCCAATACCTTCTTTCGCGACACCATTTTAGTCTCCTTTGTTTATCATATGGACGCAGAAGCAGTTTCTTCAAAGCAGTGTAGACTCCAATCTTGTATTTGATAAGTATTCGGCGGACTATGCTTTGAGAAATGGATGTATTTCACGTTGTATTGAATTCTGTGGTCAATTCTTTGTAACTACTTCTTGGATTAGCTCTGACAGCTCTAAAACTAACACTGTCGTCCTTTCTGGTGGTTGACAAGGGTCTACCTGTCCTCTTTTTCTCGCTGGCACCACCAGTGTGAAGAAAGTTTTGTTTCGTTGTCCGAATGCATTTCTCAGAAAATCCAATTAACTTGGCGATTTCTCTTTTACTTTTGGTTCCTTCTTTGATGTGCGCAATAATTAGCCATCTTTCACCTTGAGTGATACGTCTTTTGCCCATTTTTCGCGTTTTTTTAGTGCAAAACTAACTTAACTTTTGTTTAATTATTAAATAATGATTAACTAATTCCAGGTAAGTCATATTTATGTAAGGTTTTTTGACAAAATCAATTAATTTAGGCCTATTAATGAGAAATATGGGAAAAAACTACTAATTAACTATCAATTAACAAGATATAAGACTTTTTTGATTATGCGTCTAAATTTATGAACAAAATAAAATCAAGCTTATCAATTAACTTTTTTGTGTTAATCGGTATAGAATGAGTAATAAACATCCTGTAAAAAAAAATTAAGGTATTCTATAATAGAGTTTTACTTCCTCTTTTAAATTATATATCAAACATAGTGGTAGCACTTTTATTTTATTTTTATTTTAAGTATTTTCTTACTCATATGGAAAAAAAAATGAATGCGTCTAAATTTATGAAAGCTACTGTACATATATAACGATAAATTCATGTTTAGATAATATTTTTGATCTCACACTAAAATAGCCTGCTGCTGCAAGGGTGCCACTATATTGACTTTGGGGTTTGGCATGGGGCAGCAATCTTTTCTTTTATTATTTTAGTTTTTTATGAGCCTAATATATTTTATTAATAATAATTAAAATATTTTACTTTTAGTATATAAATACTTTTATTACCGCAAATTATCATGTCATATTTTGTAATGTAATTTGTTTGTTTATTTAAAAAGAGGCTTTCCCATTTAATAAAAAGCGCTTTTATTTTTGGTTATATTTAGTCATAATTAGTTATATTTTTACAATTATTTGATGTGTTTAAATGTTTATAAACATCATATTGTTTGTTGCTTTTGTCAAAAAAAAGCTTCTGAACTTTAAAATCTGATTTAAAAATTGCAATGTTATACCATAAGAACTCGCTGATCATTTAAACTAAAATTAATAAAACTGATATTTTCAATATATTTCCTTATAATTAAATGCATTTTAAAATTTTTATAGGTTTTACAAGTATATGTAAAAATATTAAACGCTTTTTCCCCTTTATTTTATTTTTGTTAAAATATCTAGACATTAGTTAATAATAAATGATAAGTTTATCTATTTAAAAAGAAACCATTTAGGTTAGTTGCAATAGAACATTTCAGAATGCCATTTTGATCAATTTAATTTTTTTTTGTGCGTGAAAATTTTATAGCACATATTTTACTATAACCTACAGTTATTAACAACTACATAATTACTAATTACATACTTAATAATTAATACCATTCCAAAATTGTTCAACTAACTCTCATTAGCTTAATGATTCCTAATGTTTTAAAAATGTAATATTTTTTAAAAGGTTTTAAAGTAATGTTAAAAATTTATGTTTGAAATAAGAAACTCAGTTGTTACTAGGCTATTTAATTTTATTTTTTGGTTTAGTTGATTCACTCTCAAACTGAGATGTCTAAAAAAGCTGCAGAGCTAATTGAAAAAACAAAGGTTAATGTTTATGGTTTTGTAAATAGTGTTTAGAATTAAATTACTCCTTTAAAGAATACTTGCATGTAAAAGAATATAGGTAGATTATAGTTTTAATAGCGATTCTGTAATAGTTTTTTCTTATAGCAAATTGAAAATTTGGATAGAGCATATTCTGAACAAAAGTTTGAGCTTGAAGGCTTGCAAGAGAGGTTAAATGATTTATCAAATGATAGGTAAATGTTGCGAGTTTTTATGTAAAACTTTTTTTTACTTTAAATCTTGGGGGTTGTCTACAAATTACATTATGCGATGGGGTGGGGGTACCATTTTAATGTCAATTTGTCACAGGTAGGGGAAAGGGGTTTAACTTAAATTGGAATTGACTTTTTAATACATTTAAGTTTAACATAAATTTTTACTTTTTTAAAATTGACTTAAAATTTAGTCTATTAATGTCCATGACTAATAATGGCTTCATTAGTTTATGACTTTATTAGTTTATTATCAAATAAAAAATAATCAATAATATAATTTTAAATAAAAATAATGTAATAGTTGTTAAACATCGATAATAGTTGATATGCATTAGCATAAAATGTTATAATGGACTGCAACATTAACATATTGCTGAAGAAGTTATTTAAATATATTTATCAAATATTGAATATGTCTTAGTGATTTTATTTTATTTATTTTTTTTGTAAAATTCAAACATATTTCTAGCAATAGTTAATATAACAGTTAGTCAATAAATCTTTAATTGAATATATCATCAATTGAGTGAAATTCAATTATCAATTTTTGGTGTTTTCCATTGTTTGTACAATAATAATTATTATACCTATATTGTATACTATATTAATTTTTATTATGTATTTTTATATTCTAAATATCGTGATGTAGCATTACAATGGTAGACTGTAATATGTGGCTCACTTTATAAGTGAGAATCGTGTAGTCCAACCCCACTACAATTCTATTTGTACCGCTCTCAACTTGTTTCTTTGTGCCTCTGCATTGTTTATCTTTATCTCAGCTGCTTTTTAGATTCAGGGTTGAGAGAAAGTTTTTCAGAATTTTCTAATGTTTTTAGTTATTGCTCTGGACTTCAGAGAGGTCTTATTATGTTTTTTAAATATTTTTATACAATTATTGCAGGCTAAAGTATGAATTACGAGAAAAGGATCTTTGTGGACAAGTTGCAACACTTCAAAAAGAAAGAAGTGCATTAAAGTCACAGCTTACAGATATCATTAATGAACTAACACAGGTATTTAATTTATGTAAAAACTTTTTTCAATTTCTTTAAATATAAAAAGTGTTTTCTCTTTGTTCCAAGTCTGATATTTTTTACAATATTTTTTAAAGAATTGATTTTTTTCTTATTATTTGCAATCTAGTTAAGGTAACGGTATCAGTAGTTAAACGTTTAAGAGGAAAAAATCCGTATGACTGCCATATCTTTAAGATTGTTTACTAATCATATAATCTTAATACTTCTAACATCTTATTTTTTAAACTTTCAGTTTATTTTAGCGACTTCATTTTATCTTCAGGACAATAAAGTGAATTAAAAAGCAATTGCTTTTTCGCATTATTATGTGACGTAACCTTCAGTAACTAATTGCACATTAGTTCAGAGTAAAGTTAACTTTTGTTTGTTGGTAATTAAGAGTGGACTGCTTTTGATAATAAATGAACAAAAGTAAAAAATTTTAGTCTTAATAACTATCATGCAAATTTAATTTTTGAATGAATGAACTTTTGATGTTTACTTTTGAATGGATGAACATTTGATCGTTAACTTGCTATTTTAGTTTACGTGAGGAAAATGAAAAAACAAAACATAAACTTTTTCAGAAAGTTTTTTTCTACTCTCTTATATACTATTAATCAATTTTTTACAAAGTATTAACTTTTCATATTTTGTAGCTGTTTTTTGAAAGCATATGTTTACATTAGGGTAAAATTATATGAAATCATCTAAAAAAAAAATAATTTTCAACATCCTTACGTCTCAGAATTTGTTTATTTTTACACCACTTGCAGTCCATATCAAAAAAATAATAACTGCAAAAATTTTAGTTGAAAATACCAATGGGTTCCAGAGATATCGTCAGTTGAAATAATGCTGACTCAGCATTTTAGTGATTTTCTGAAGCGACTACAAAGCAACTTTGACATACAGTATCTTCATAATGGCTTGGGGAAATTTCCTAAAATTTGGTACTCTAATAGATTTTAACTTGAGGAATCCAAAAATAGCACTCTTAAGACTTGATTATCTCAAGAAATGCCTCATTTATCCAATTTTGTTCAAAATTATTGACTTGTAAGTTAGTGATTTTTGGAGGTAAAATAAAGACTGTGGCCCATAATCCCGAGTAAAAATTTTAATTGTATATTATTATTTCATCTTAGGTCTACTGAAAAAAATTAGATTCATCAATTATCTCTCTAATACATGATCAAAATTTGCATTTAAAAATGGTGTCTTTTTAGAAAAATTTAATTTTTGTAACAAAAGCAATTGAAATATTTTTTTATACATTTATTTAAATAAAACACCAAATAGTGTTATTTATTGACTAGTTTAAATTTAATTAAACATTTAAAGTCATGGGCCAAGGGAGATGCCCTCCCTACCCACGGGAGGCCCCTCCGCCCCCTCCCCAAATCTCCCTAGATTTTTTTTTTTTTTTTTTTTTACATAAAATGAATAAATAATAGTTGATTGTTAAAATACATTTTAAAAACATATTTTTTCAGTTTAAGTTTGAGAAACAATTTATTTGCGTTACTTCAAATCGATAAATACTTACCTCTTATTTCAAAGATCTTTTTACGATATTAAGTCATAAATTTCAAAAACAAATGTTTTAAAATGTTTTTAAAACATATTGACAATAAATATCTTTATGTAGTTTTAGACTAATATAGTCATTGACATAATAAGATGGGAGTGATTTGTGATTTATTTAAACCCCCACCCCTCCTTCTCAGCCTACAATCCAAGGATTTGAAAAAAATAAAAGACATTTAAAATGCAAATTAGGTAAATAAAATAAAAGCAAAATTATTTTAAGCATAATTATTTTTTTTTTGTAACCAACAGTTTATATTCTCCAAATCTAAATCAGTTATGTTGTATGTACGACCTGGTATTGTTGTGGGTGTAGAAATTAGGCATATAACTTTAGAATTGAGCACCCAACACTCATCAGTTCTTATTGGCCAAAAGAAGTTTTTACCTGGTCCATGTGGATGCATGAATCTGACTTTTATATCAAGCTCACTTACATCTTCAGCAATCCCTACCCACCAAATATCCATCATAAAAACATGCAATATAATCCATTTTTTTAATATTTAATGAAATATCTACATAATGTTTGCTTTTTGGAATGATATCAAATATTTCAGTGCATGCATCAATGCTTATTTTTTTTTATAACTTATAGTGTTTGGAGCAATTGGAATAAAATGATGATACATCCTTGTGCCAGGAACTGTTCTTCCACCTAAATATCTTTTTTCTAATTGTGCTCGTGTTTGATCAACTTCTTCTTTTGAAAATAACTTAAAATAAATTCCATTTATCTTGGCTTTACAAAAGGAGTACATTAAATTAACATCTAAAATCTGCCCAGTAGTTATTTGTTTTAGACTTTCTTGACATACTACTCTTTTAACAGTCCCACCAATACCATCACAGGGGGATTTACCATGACTGGTAGCAAAAAATACCCATTCAGCATTTAAATCAAAGTCTTTACTGTGATGACAAAGATTGATAAAATTTTTAAAATTTTTAAATTGTGCTGCACAACCATCAGAAAAGTATTTCACACTTGATACATCAGGTAGATTTTCTTTGATATATCTAGTTATATCTTCCTGAGTCTTGTAAATAAATCCTGTGTCATGATCAACATCTTCTGAAAGGTAACAAAAAGATTTATGTTTGAGAAGTTTGTTCTCTATAAAATAAAGTACAACTGTATAAAGTGAGCATTGACTTTTGCTCCAGTGATAACTTTGAACCTCATCCTGAACAACATATTGATAGTTTTCAGCAAAATCTCCTAAAATTAAGCATTCGTTTTGGTTAAGATTTTCTTTACAGTTTTTTAAGTATCTACTTTGTGTTTTTGCAATATATGAATGAGTTGTAAGGTTGTCAATACTGTCACATAATAAATCAATAAATTCATCTAGTGGCAATGACTGTGAAAGTAGTGTTGTACGATCTGTACTCTGCCATTGCTTAAATACTACATCTTCTTCATGCTCATGGTCCATAAACTCCTGCACTAAAAAACTTTTTAAATGGCTTCAATACCAGGACATTGGTTACATCGATGCAACATACATTCTGCATTTTCAAGAGAGCAAACAATCAATGCCATGAAATCTTTATAACTTATTCCACCTAATGGCATCAATGAGAAATTTTTATTTTGTTTTATATTTATTTTGGTGATATATGCAAACACATACATTGTGGGTACCTGACGCATTAGTTGTAATACACCATTTAGGTTTAAGAGTACAAAACTTTGACAAACTGACTTTGACATTAGGGTAGTCTTTTTTAAATGCAACATGTAATTCATTAAGATTGAGTAGCAATAATCTTTTTTGAACATGTTGGTTTTTCTTAATACTTACATAATCTTTTTTTCCTGGCATCATTCTTGAAAATTCATCACTTTGATAAAAGTTAATCACTAAATTAACTGTTTTTGGTGAAAGTGGGTTTCCAGTTTTTTTCCCGGGTAATGATAGAATTTCATTCTCATTTTTAACTTTTCTTGTTCGAACAAGATACTCAGACACTTCAAAGTAGCTTGATATCTTTTTACGTGTCCATGATTTTGGTGCGAGTGTTAACATTTGCACCTTATGGCGATAAGAGTCGGTCTCTGAAATTTTATTTTTTATTTCATACATTAAAATGTCTAGATCATGGTCATTGTTAATGTTGTTGTTTAAAATGGGGCTTTAATTTCTGTTGTTAAAAAAGTTTCTTTAATATTATATGCTAATGAGACCATTTTTGCAACTCTGTCAATAGTGTTCTCAAACTTTTGTTTTGCTACAGGCAATTTGCTGTGTTTTGAAAGACTTTTTAGTTTGACCGGTGAGATTCCAAGCAATTCTATAGTGGTATCTAACTTAATTTTTTTCTCACTTTTTGATTCCCATTCCTCCTGTGAATTTAAATCTTCATCAGTTTCTATTGCTTTTTTGTAACATTTACTGCAGAATTTACAACCTGGGGTTACATAAACATTATTTTTTTGCAAGTAGTTTGCCATGTCCATGGAAATCTTTATATTACCTAAAAAACAAATTTAGTTTTACGTTGTTAAAATAACTGAAATTATAAAATTTTTTATAAATAATAAATTGTCTTCTTTTAATTTCCATATCAATTCTGTTGTAAATAAGGTAAGATTACCTTTTATAGCAATTTTTTTACTTTCCTTGTGTGTTCCAAAAGGATTGCAACACTTTGTAATTTTTCTCTCAAAATATTTTCCATAGAATTGCTCATGATAACAACATATAATTCTTATTGAACTATATTTTTCTTTTAAATTTGCTCGCCATATTATTTCTTCTTGTTTTTCACAAGGAAGATCTTTAAATTGAACAAAACCTTGTTTTCTTTAAAATCCAGTTTTGTGGCAATGAATGTTAAGACTTTTTCCAATGACACATTTCTCCATATTAATTATTTTTATTATTTATTACCTAACAAAATAATATAAAAACTATAAAATTAAAAGTAATTCTTTAAGAAAATACAAACAAGTAAATACCTTTAAAAAGAACAAAACAAAACTGTTTGTTTTTTATATAAAAGGAGGTTTTAAGTCACCAATTTGAAATAATGAAATTTTTTTTTTTCAAAATTAAAATTAAATTGTATGTTTTTGCATTATTTATTCATTTTATGCAAAAAAAAAAAAAAAAAAAAAAAAAAAAAAAAAAAAAAAAAAAAATCTAGGGAGATTGGGGGAGGGGGCGTAGGAGCCTCCCGTGGGAGTGGAGGGTATCTCCCTTGGCCCATGACTATAAATGTCCTAAACTATTCAATAAATGACACTATTTGATGTTTTATTCAAATAAATGTTTTAAAAAGTATTTTAATTGCTTTTGTTACAAAAATTAAATTTTTCTAAAAAGACACCATTTTTAAATGCAAATTTTGATCATGTATTAGAGAGACAATTGATGAATCTAATTTTTTTCAGTAGACCTAAGATGAAATAATGATATACAATTAAAATTTTTACTCGGGATTTTGGGCCACAGTCTTTATTTTACCTCCAAAAATCACTAATTTACAAGTCAATAATTTTGAACAAAATTGGATAAATGAGGCATTTCTTAAGATAATCGAGTCTTAAGAGTGCTATTTTTGGATTCCTCAAGTTAAAATCTATTAGAGTACCAAATTTTAGGAAATTTCTCCAAGCCATTATGAAGATACTATATGTCAAAGTTGCTTTGTAGTCGCTTCAGAAAATCACTTAAGTGCTGAGTCAGCATTATTTCAAGTGACAATATCTCTGGAACCCATTAGTATTTTTAACTAAAATTTTCGCAGTTATTGTTTTTTTGATATGGACTGCAAGTGGTGTAAAAATAAACAAATTCTGAGACGTAAGGGCGTCATGGTCTAGATGATTTCATATATTTTTACCCATTAGTAATTGACTATCTAAAAAAACAAACATTTTTTTTAGTGTTTGACCACCCCTGGGTCAACTTTAGTAGTTGACCCTAGGCGTTAATAAGTTATTAGATGTATAAAAGATGCTTATTGAGTTTATCAAATTTTTAATTAATTCGAAACAATTTTTAACGTTCACTTGTTTTTGCAAAGTGCACGCAAATTAATTAAAAATAACTAATTTGCAATAACCTTATGACTGTAAACTGATTTTTTTTCAATTAGTTCGATAAATTTATTTACTTAATTTAATTAAAATAAAAGAGAACTAAAAATAAAATAAAAGTTGTTTTGACATTTCTTTTTTCAAACTTTTAAAAATAATAATATAATATTAAGTATTTAATAAGTTAATATATTAGGTTATTATTAAATACTTAATATGATATTATTATAATATATTAGGTTATTATTAAATACTTAATATGATATTATTATAATATATTAGGTTATTATTAAATACTTAATATGATATTATTATAATATTGTTATAATTATAATATTAGGTATTTAAAAATAAAAATATCATATTATTGGTGTTGTTTAACCCACAATAAAAATAAAAACTATAATAAACATAATAGTTCTAAATATTCTATTAAATTATATATATTTCAGCAAAAGTTAAAAAATGATTTAAAGTGTTTATAGTGTGTAAACAAACATTACTTTACTTGAACGATAATAAGAAATTTTTAAAAAAAGCATTCTTTTAAAGTAAGCAATGTTTTAACATGGTTTCTTTTAAACTAATTGCAAATGCATTCAATTTAACTAAAATTTTGGATGCTTTTGTAAACGCATGTAAAAACCATGCTAAAACATAATTACTTTCTTTAGTTGGGTACTTAGTTATTTGACTTAAAAGTAACGCTATTAAACAAAGTAATCATGTTGAAGCCTGGTTTCTTTTGAAAATACATTTTAAATTTTAATAACTGTTTTTTGTTAAAAATATATCAATCAAATACTTTTTCGGAAAAAAAATTACTGAAGTAATGCGTTGTTGTTGTTTTTTTAATTTTAGACGAGCGCCAACATTTGTATAAGTAAAATTAAAGAAAAGTGACATTTGTTTTTCTGTCTTTTTTTTTTTTTTTTAAACATTTGCACCTTCATCCATATGTTTAATGAGAGAAAAATGAAACCAGTACTATTTTTTTTCTTTTTCTGTAAATATAACAAGACATATTGAATATTTTTTAAGTGATGCAACACAAATACAGCATTTTATTAAAAATTAAATGATAAGTGTTAATTTCTGGTATAAGGTATAAGACCCACATCTGGTATAAGACCCAAGAACACTCAAGAACACAAGTTTGATTAGCAGATTTTTCTTTGTATTTGTTCCTTGAAAACATGAAACGCGTATTACGATGAGTTAAGATAAACAAAGGAATTACTAAGTAATTCCTTTGTTTACACATTTTTTCTTTGTAACCGTCCTGGTCAAAATTCATTTGTAACCGCCCTGTTCAATTACTAAATTTTTGAAATTTTCTGATCCATTATTTGGTCACCCTAATAACTGACTACAGGTGGAAAGTAAGCAGACAATAAACAACTTTTAATTAGTATCATTTTTTTTAATTTGAAATACAATGATCTATTATTAAAATAAAAGGTAATTATATATTTAAATGAACTTTATTTGCAATGTGTTCTTAGCAAATTGTGGAAGAACACTTCATAATTTTGAAAGCTTAACACATTCATATTGAAATTTAGCTATCTTTATCGAAATGTTGTCAAATGTTTCCAGCATTCATGCGTGTACAACCAAATGGCAAGAGAGTAGTTTTCCTCCTGTTTTTAAAATTATTATACTAGAGTAGAGTTTATTTCAACAATTTTACTTCTAAATGGTCAACTACTGACACATTGTCAATAATTGGTACCATTACCTTTAGGTACTGTTACCTTATGTAAAAATGTAAATGCTTTCATCGTAGATTAAGATGTGTGAAAGTAATCAAAAAACTCAATTTTTTGTTTAAAGAAACGAGAATTGAGTTTGTTTAGAAGGATTTTTTTCATAAATGTAACTAAATTTTTTTATTTATGAACACAAATAAAAATTGATTTATCAACATAAATAAATATTGATTTATATATGTAAATTATGCTTACAAATATCTTATTGGTAACAGGTAAAATCTTACTTTATGTACATAATCTTTATTAAAAATAGTTCATTAAAAATGTGGGGGAAAATGTGATAAAACAAACAAAAGATTATTATGTACATAAAATGATAATCTTTCATACATATCCTTATTACTTCTTAAAAAAATAAGATTTTTTTATGAAGTATAATAAGGATATATAATCTTTTTCAAATACCAATTTTAAACTTTATTAATACACAATAACAATATAAATATCAAAGCTGTATCAAGTTACATGTATATGAATTAAGCAATTTTGTTATGCAACAAAAACTCATAACGAGGCCTGTAATGGTACACATGCTGAAGTTTAAAAATAAAATACTTTACTCCAAAATTTTAAGTTTCTCAAAATTTCTTATAAAATTTCTTTCAAAATATTTTATTTATTAATCTAAATATTTTATTATAAATATTTTATTTATTTATATTTATTAATTTTTTTTTTAATATTATTTATTTTTTATTTATATTTTAATATTATTTATATTTTTTATATTTTATTATTTATTTTTTATTTTATATTTATTATATTATTATATTATTTATTATTATATTATTTATTATATATTATATATTATTATATTATTTATTATTTATTTTATATTTTATTATTTATTTTATTATTATATAATATTATTTATATTTTAATATTATTTATAATTATTAAATATTTTATTTAAATATTATGTTATTATTAATTGTACTTTTAAATATTTCATATAAAAATTTTTGATTTTGTTTTATAAAAAGTTTATTTTATAAAGGTTTAATTAATTTATTTTTAAGTTTTTCAATTGTTTTTAATTAATTGTTTTCCATACTTAATAAAATTGCTAATATTTTTTGTTTTAAGAAATCAAGTCAACTAGAATCATCCCAACTTGCGTTAGATAGAAGTCAAGAAGAAATTGTATCATTGAGGCAAACATATAGTTTATACAAAGCCAAGGTATATTTTATATATTTTTATATTTAACTTTTTTTGTTGTTGTTTTAATGTAGTAGTCAATGTTATCAAGCAATAAATTTGATAGTTGACCTAGATAGTTAGTGTTTAGGGTTGAAATTACCCAAAGTCTGGGCCAGGTTTGTGACTGGCTGCATAAACATTGGTACATCCTAATGCAAATTTTTGTATTACAAATATTTATTATATTTTATATATTTGCATGTATATATATATAAACATCATCATGATCAACATGATCATCATCATCATTGTCATAATCATTATTATTATTGTCAAGCTTTAGCTTGGTCTTCAAAATTTTAATTTATGTAAAACTGTATACTTTGTTTTTATGGAAAAAATTAGCTTAAATTTGTTAGCAAAAAAGTTATAAAATACAAAACAAAATTAATTGTAATAATAAAAAAGAGAAATATGTTTTGAGATTTTTTTATTATAAATCTCTTGTATAAAAAATCTTGAGCAGTTTCTTTTCCTAATTTTCATACCATATTTTATGCACCTTCTCCAAGTTTTCTTTTATCTCGTATTTTTCCCTGAAACTGCCACCTTTCTACATACTGATACTAAAACCACTTTTAACTTCTGACAATCTAGTTCAATACAACGTTTTGTAGAACATATTTTTAAGGACGAAGAATAATTACCAAATATGTTTTATAAATAGTTATTGTTACCATTATTTTACCAAACTTGTTGTTTCTATTTCAGTATACAGTACTCATATCTTTTACAAAACTATCTTTTATTTCTGTAAAAGTTTTTTTTTACTATTGAATTTTATGTTTTGCATAAAAGTAACATTATCTCTGTTATTTTATGTTTTGCATAACAGTGACATTATCTCTAATATTTTATGTTTTGCATAACAGTGACATTATCTCTGTGATGCAAAAGTTGCAACCAACAACTAATGTTGTTAAAACTGTAAAGCGAAAAAAAATTCTGCTTTTCCAGTGTTTTAGTTTATCAACACTACAAATATTATTTCTGTTTTAAAGTAAAAAAGCATCCAATTAAAACTTTTCTGGATCTGTGCAGGTATATTATAGCATTAAAAGTCCACATATTTTTCTAATATCTCAAACAATTCAATGACTTTTATGATGGAAGCCATAAAGTCAATCTAGAGTTTTTAAGTTTTTTATCTGAGTGGATAGCGCACAGAGCTTCTAAACAAATAAGTCGTGGTTTGAGTCCTACCACTGGTGACTTTTTCTTTTTATTATTATTATTTTAAAATACAAAATATTTTAGAAGTTTTATAGTGATTATATATAAACATATGTAACAATATTATACACTTTAACAAATAAAAAGATTTTTAAAAAAGCTAAATTTTCTAAAAACATCAAAACACCAGGAGAAAATATTTGTTGCGTATGTGTCATGATTGAGATACTTATGTTATTAATGTGCTCAGGTAATTGGTCCTAATAAGCTGCAAATGGTCTGAAAAAAGTTGTTTGAAACTTAATAAAGAAAAAGCTTAATAAAACAGTCCTTTTACTCTAAAAGGTGCTGCTATGGAGGCAAAAAAAAGCCCATAGCTAGATAAAACTTTAAAACTTTCTTTTGATAATTAATAGTTTTTTTTTGCTACATTTTTTTTTTTTACTATAAATATATGCTACTGCTGTTTTTCAAAACACTTTAATAAGCTTATTAAGTATTTCAAGAAAAATGTAATTAAAAAAAAAATTATTAGGAGAAACTCTTTGTAAAACATTTTTTGAAACTAATTTTTATGAATTTTTTTAGAACTCTTTGAAAAATGTATTCAATAACATTGGTAGACATCTAACTTACTGTGTAAAAAAGTCAAAATTGATTTTTTTTTTTTTTTTTTTTTTTCACCTTTAGGCATTTTGAAAAATAGCTGCAGTATATGTAATACAATGAATATGTTATAATGAGATAATTTGATGCAAAATGTAAAAGCTCTTTACAAAAGCCACTAAACCAAAAAAATTAAATGTATTGGTGTTAGCAAAGAAACATTATATAAATCATTTTTTAATATAAAACTATTTTTTTTCAAACTTTGTTGTATAGGCAGGTTTGGTGCTCAACCATCTATATAGTATAAAGTTTATTACTTCAAATTGCAAGGAACAGATAACGTTCACCCATTCATTCTAAAAGCACTCGCCACCAAACTTGCCAAGTCATTATCAATCATATTTAATGTATCATTGTGTTCAGGAGAAATACCAGACTTCGGTCCCATGCAAAATTATGGAGAAAATAGTAAGGAATGATCAAGAACCTATCAACTACTTCACAAAAAAATAACCTTTTTTGTAGCAAACAACATGGTTTTGTTCCGAATAAATCATGACAAACCTTCTGGAAACAATGGCAAAAAAAAACACCACTGGATATCGTATTTTTCGTCTTTTCACGTTCGTTTGATTTAATACAGCATACTAGCATTTTTGAAAAACTAAGCAAATATAGACTAATAAGTCAACTGCTTGCATGGATTTGCTCATTAAGAAATCAACAACAGCAAATCATTCTAGGCAACACAACATCAGAATGGACACCAGTTTAATTGATGTTACCTAAGCATCCGTGCTAGGACCAATTCTATTTGCCATCTTCATTAACGACCTCCCAGACAACATTAACTCTTGCTGCAAAATGTTTGCAGGCAACACCAAATTGATAGCACTAATCCAGCCAGCAACTAAATCTTAGTAAATCCAAAGTGATGCACATTGGACGAGCAAACAAATCAGTGACATACACTATGCTAGATCCACTTTCAGAGCAAAAAGAGATCTAACAACAACAATGATAGAAATAGACCATGGAGTCACAATAAGTCAAGATCTTAAGCCAGAAAAACAAGTCAATAAAGCCGCATCGATCACAAATAAATTTCTTGGACCGTTAAAAAAATATGTTTATATTGCAAGATCCAGTACTATGGGAAAAATTATACAACATGTCAGACCAGAAAAAATTCAGCGACAAGTTACTAAAATTGGAGGCAACAATAAGATAAGTTAAGAAGCAACAGAGCTATGAAGAAAAGCTAATCAAACTCAACCTAACTAGTATAATTTTTGTTGATAAAGGGGCAACCTCTCTCAACAATTTAAAATATTAAAAGGAATCGACAAAGTGAAATGGTGTGTACCAACAATCTCAAAAGAGCCAAGAGCTGGTTGTAGAGGACAACTGAGCAAAGAATTAGTCCGTAACAGCGCACTGAGAACCAATTTCTTCACTAACGGAATCATGAACTGTTAGAACTCGCTATCCGACGATACAGTGAATGCAGAAACAGTCAACGCAATCAAGAATCAGCTGGAAAACCTCCAGCATAGTTGTACAGTGGTAGTAAACGACCGGGGCTGGTATTTGACCTGGGTCAAAGCCAGATTTATGGCTGAGGCTGTTTAAATACTAATGCATATTGATATGATATATAAAAATAAGTCAATTTGCATCAATATTTATGCAGTCCCGTCCGTAGAACTGGCCTTGGCCACGGTCAAATACCAGCCCCAGTTGTTTACTATACAGTGGCTTATCCTCAGATGGGTTACTTGGTGTGAGTCGATAAGCTCGCATTGCAACTTATTATATCTAATTATATAAACAATATATATAAACAAATATGTTATTTGTTTATGTATATTATTTATAAAATGTAATGTAAAAAATAAAGTTTTCTAATATTTACAAGTCTTTTTTGCTCAAGCTGTTTTGTTTTGATTTTTTATATGTATGTTATTATATTTAAAAAACTTGACAAGATTGAAAAAACACGAAACATGTTGTCTCATCCAAGGTGAAAATTTGAAACTTTTCAGATTAGTCCTTCTCTTGATAATTTCTTATTACTAAAATTAATAATGCTTCTGCTCTGCTTCTTAGACTATTAAAAATGAAAGAACAGGCTTTTTTATAAATCATTAAAACCATAATTTTTTTTCGTATGTGACTTCACTTTGTGGCAAAAACTAGAAAAACAAACTAGAATTAAGATTTTTTTTTCAATTTTAAAAAAAAAAACTCCTTCTATTAAAGATATATAGAATATATTTTTTTATGGGATATATTTTAATAAAAACAAAAACTATTTATTTATTACTATTGTAATAAATACAAACTCTTCTCTGAAATGATATATATGTACCAGTTTTATATATTTTTGTGCAATTGTATACAACATAATTAAAATAAATCAAAAAAGGTAAATGCAAAAGGAAACTTGATGCATAAAGTTTTATTTTGGAAAAAGTGCACCTATAAAGTTTTTTGCTCTTGAATGTTTTTTTCAGAATAAATTATTTTACTAAAAAATATTGAAGTAAATAAGGAATAGGTATATAAATAATTGGTGTGGAATAGATATGTATAGAAATAGTACATTTGATAAAGACCAATAATTTACAGATCCTGAAAGCTAGGATATATAAAGAAAAAGTATAGAAAAGTTCAGTTTGGAATAGACTTACAAAGACCTGTATTTTTATGGGTTCGATCTCAGCTAGGAATTATTAAAGTTACAAGTGCCTTATAAAAAGTAATAACACCATTATAGTGTTATTACTTTTATAATGCAGTTAGTGATTAGAGTGTTGTTACTTTTGTAATCATAAGTTTATTGTTTTGTTTTGTTTTGTATTTTATAACTTTTTTGCTAACAAATTTAAGCTAATTTTAGTACACAGTTTTATATAAATTAAAATTTTGAAGACCAGATATTTTTCCAGATATCGCAAATCGTGATCACTTAATTCAACCCTTGGCATGTATTACAAAAGTGGACATTTTTTATACCCTTATGTCTATTTAGAATGTTAGCTTTGTTAAATTATGTTTTGAAAAATATTAAAAAGAACTAATGCACCATTAGTTTTTTTTTTATATAAAAACATTTAAAATGTAATATTTTTGTATCTAGTTATTTTAATAAATAGCAATTTTAATAATGATGTAAATTTTCTGCAAAGAAAATTTTTTTAACAGGATCCCAAAGTGTTGAGACAAGTTGTGTTCATGTTGAAGAGAATATTTTTAAAAAATGTTTTTAAAAAAGTTTTTTGATTAAAAATAGAGGTATACCAAGAAAAACTTTGTAGTTTTAGTCAAAGCTCATCGCCATGATTTTTAAGTCTTTAAAGTATATGTCGTAGTCTAAAGACTTAATAATTTATTCAAGGGCATTTAATTTAAAAGTTTTTAGTATATGACGCCATTGTAGAATTTCGATAAGAAGTCTAGAAATTCTTTTTTTCTTCTAATTATAGATTTTTTAATTATTATTATAGATTACTAAAGAATTTATTTAGTTAGTTATTATTGCATTAAAAAAAGAAATTTTTATCATAAATTACTAAAAAATTTCTTTAGTTATTTTTTAATTTTCACCAAATTGGCATTAAAAATATGAATAAAATATTTCAGATACTTTAAGCTTGTATATTGCTATAAACTAGTTTTGTGTATTGTTATTAAATGATTAAAATCCTTCTTAAAATTCTGTTAAAAATTTTTTTTGTATTATTGATCTGTATAAAAGGTTAGTTTAACATTTAAAAAGTTTAGTTAGCATTTATTTATTAAAAGTTTAGTTAGCATTTATTTGCTAAACTTTTTATCCAGTAAAAATAATCTTGAAATTCTTATTTAGTCATGCGAGATTATATTTGATGAAATATATTTTGTAAAGTGCATATTGCTTATTTTATTTTTAAAATTATTGCTAAAGATTTAGAATAATTATTGCTAAAGATTGTACAAAAGTGCTATTGGGTTAATTTTATATTTTATATCATTCAATGGAAAACTTGTAATAGTCAATTTTTTTTAATGCTGTGAACATAAGTTTATATTTTAAAAAATGTTACTTAATTTGTAATACCTGAGGCAATATTAAATTTTATTTTTAAATGGAAGAAGTTATTTTTTAAGTGGCATAGTTTTACAGTATACGCATTTACACCATTGTTCTACGCCAATATTCAAATAATTTAATTTTCATAGCTGCCACAATTGTTAGCTATTTAGTTGGTTGTTTTTTGTTTTTATTCTGTTTATTTAGTAGGTTTTTTTTTTTTTACGTTTTTTATACTGAAACTCTTTGAAATTAATTGCACTTGGATAAATTATAAAGTCTTAAGATTGTGGCATATAGTTTAAAGTTTAAAGGTTTCACACTAACATGAAAACAACGAGCTTCAACTCGAAGTTTTTCATGGTGTATGTTTATTAATTTGTTTTAGTCAAAAAAAATTAGCCCAGACATTTTTTTTTAATATTTTCATTAATATGAACATAACTGGTCTCGCCACTTTAGGAGCCCTTTAAGTACAATTTGTTTAGAATTAATGAATTTGTTAATTAAATAATATTTTGTTTAGTAATGTAATTGAGTAAGAATTAAAAAGTTGTTTATATTTGTTTAGATGACATCTGATGCAGAAGAGCGAAATAATGAAAATATTGTTTTGAAAGAACGGTTATCTGACCTTGAACAAAGGTTTTTTTTTTGCTTTTATTTTTTTGTTTGTTTGTATTTTTAATTATCTTTTAAAGTCTCTTTATTTCTTTGTACTTGTTTATATCAATATTGGCTAATTAAAAAAATATTATACCAATATATTTAGATTGCAAGATAGTAAATTATCTGAAAATGGACAGCTAAAAGCTATAGAAAAAGAGGTTTGTTGTTTTTGTTTGTTTTTTTCTATTTCTTTTTCCTAGAGTTTATCATTGTTTGGTTTGCATGATTTCAACACTTTTTCAAAATGCGCATGCTATGCAGTGATTTGATAGCTACTTTGACATTTTATCCTTTCTTTTGAAGTACTATTGACTGTGGGGAAGCATTTGTATACCAAGTAGAATGATGCTTAGCCCACTTAACACATTTGTAGCTTAAATTGATTTTAAGTTTTGTGATTTTTATAGGCAATGTCAGTGCCCTAGTAAGTGTCCTAGTTAAAGGGCTGTCATCAAATCAACTTGAAAACTTTAATTTAAATGTTAAATTTAATTTATTTTTCACTTTAAATTTAAAAAAATAGATAAAAGAATAATGAAAAAATTTATTGCTGCGCCAACCCAAACCCTCAGTCAATGTAGTAGCAACTGCCTTGCATATATCTATATCAGTTGATGTATGTACTGAAGCCCCCACAGCTCTCTATTTCAGTATGACATTGTTGGTGTGTGTATATATATGAGGTTTTATGATGAACAAGATTGTTTAACTTTGTTTTAACTTCAGTAATTAAAATGTACTATAATTATATTTGTTAATTGCTCAAAAAAGTAGCAAGACTTCTTTAATATATGAATCAGATGTCATATATAAATTGTTAAAAAATTTTAACCTACATTATGCACAAAATTACGAAATAAATGTTGCTCATGATAAAATGTATAATAAGGTTTTTTGACTGCTATTTATGAGTTTAATATACATGTTTTTGCTATAATTTTAAATTGGATTTAGTTTTGGATAGTGTCTATTGGCACGGCCGCCGTGTACAACTTCTAAAAAAGACTATTGGCTTGGCTGCCATTGAAACAGTTAAGAAAAGGTGTTTGCACGGTCAAACTGGTAAAATTTGAAATAGGACTGCACCGTAACTTTAGAATTAATTAATAGGTACAACAAAACAAATTAAAAGCTGAAAAGGAAGATCTGAAAGAAAATGACAACTTTGGTAATTACATAGAATTCTAAAAAAACACAAAAAGAACAAGTAAAATTAAAAATTTTCAAAACCCAGTGCTTTTATGTTTTAAAAACACAAGTTTTGCAATAAGTTTTTTCTTATAATGCTATTTTATTTTATTAAGATTCGGCTGTATGCATGTGTAAAATAACAAAAAATATCCAGGAAGAGGCAAGACTCGACCCTCCGACCTTCAGTTTACGAAGTCGATGACTTTACCAAATTAGCTTAACGCGCATTTAAGTATTCAAACAATTAGTATACTTATTTATAAATTTTTAATTCTTTTTTCCATAAAAAAAATAAATTTAATTACAATTAACTAAATTAGTTAACTTAAATATTGTATTGTCATCTTTATTGTATTTGTCATCATTATTGTCAAATCTATCATCAGGAAGAGACTCAAAAATTGATTGCAAGATTTGGTTTTGTGGCCGTGCGAATAGCTGTTTTAGAATTGGAACATGGCGGCCGTGCGAATAGCATTGGCCTTAGTTTTCGTAAAAAATTAAAAAAGGTTTCATAAGTTTTGTATAATATATTAAATAAATTTTGTGTGTGTGTTTATTTGTAGCGCTCTCTTCTTGAAATGAGGCTTCAACAAACTCGTGAACAATTAGCAGAATTACGAGTGCAATCAAATGATAAAATTACAACACTGGGATCTCTGGTATGCTTTTTAATTGTTTTCACTTAGGTGTGACATCAATTTTATCTTGATAATTTGATAATAGCTTAACTTTGAAATTAGTTTCTTTGGTATTACCAATTTTTCCATATAGCTAAAAAAAATTGTTGCACTTGCAGAAGAAATTTTGGCTCATAATTTCTGCAGTAATATATGAAAATATAGAAAAAACTAAAATCCAACTAGTTAGAAACTTTAAAAATGAATCAAAATATTTTGCTCTCATAACATTAGTCTCAGAGATAGTGACCAGCTAAGCTAAAAATTGTTGCCAGGTATAAGATTTTTCCAAACATTACATGCTTTTGTTTTATTCATACCAATCTCGTCATTTATTATTAAACTTTTTTTTTTATATATATTTATAATTTAATTATTGATGATTTTAATTATTTTATGCATGGAATTCACATAATAAATTTTTTGACTTTTTGAATTTATAAAATGAAATCTGTGACTTTATTTTACACATAACAATCAGTAAAATAAATTCAATCAGTAAAATAAAATTAAATAGTAAAAGACAATGTGTGGCCACAAATAAAAATTTATTTACCTCTGTTAATAAAGTAGGATATTTCTTCAATCAAAAATGTTTGTATTCTCTGATCTTTTTTAAAACAAAAAAACATTTTCACTTCCAACAAGGATGCAAGCTACCATTATTAGAGCTTTATGGCTTTTGGAGTTGCTTTTATGATGATAACAGCAAGTAATTTGTTGTTGCTTTTAAAAAAAAGATAATGATTAACAGATGACTTAAAAGATTGCAAATTATATTAAAAGGAAAGCAAGACGGAAAAAAAACAAGACGTAGGAAAACAAAACGAAGTGAGCGAATTCTAAAAAAACTGATATTCAAGGAAAAAACCAGTAAGGTTTACCTAATGAGGTTGGAGCACTTAGGAACAATCACAGTAAATGGATAAGACATTTGAATGACAAGTAACACAGTAACACAAGAATGAGTTTTAGTAGATAGAATAAGTGAAGATAGCTCTTTAGTGCAGCGCCCATTGTAGTATTTATAAATAAGAGTAAGAGAAGTATCGTTACTATGACAATGTGATAATGGTTAAATGTTGACTGTAAGAGCAGGTCCGACTATGTTAACAATGCGTTTTTGCACCTTGTCTTAAAGAGAAAGGGTATCATTTAAGGATCCACTCCAGATATGGTAACAGTATTTCATACAAGGATAGATTTGAGATTTATAGAGATAAAGAGTAGTATCCAGAGTAAGAAAGTGGCAAGCACTAGAAAGAGATGCAACTTTAGCAGATGCTAATTTTCTAACACATTAAATCATTTACAAAGGTCAAAGTTTGATGAAAGCTTGAGTTCAAGGTGGAACTTCTGGTGTTTATTATTCTACCAGCAAATCAGCTTACATGTAAAGCGGAAGATTTATTGAATGGCTTTATTCTTTTTTTAGTTTACACAACCAACTAAAGAGATGCAACTTTAGCAGATGCTAATTTTGCAATAGATTTGATATATGATTTCCAAGAAAGATTGGATGTAAGAGTTAATCCTAGAAGTTAATCCTGAATGATAGATGACTCATCGATTACATTACTGTTCATAAATACTGCGAAGATCTTGATCGTTGCGATAACAATTAATTGAAAAAGTTTGAGTTATATCTGAGTTTCAATTTCACCAACCACTGAGCGCCTCTTAAAGAACTAAGCAAAATATTTGGTATTGATAAGACTAATAAAAATGTTTGAATCTTTTTCTTAGATCCAAGAGAATAGATCTTCTTGGAAAATCTATTCTCTTGGAATCAAGAGCTTTGAAGAAAATTTTGCGTAATCTTCAAGGAAGACTTTTTTAAATTTTAAGGAAACGGGCAAAAGAAAACTATTAAAGCAATCAGAACTGGATCAAATAGAATATAGTCACAGACAAGACACAAATCAAGGAGTGAAGTTATTAGGCTTGAAGTTATAAGTTAACTGTTTGAGTAAGAGATTAAGAAATACAGAAGTTATGAGTTTTAGTGCAAGCAAGGTGCAAGCTTTTTTTAAAAAAAAACATTGCATGGTTAGAACCATCTAAAGGAAAAAAAGAAGAAACTGAACACAAGCTAGGATCAGCATAACATAAAAACAAGGAGTGAAGGTAAACGATTAAGGTCTGTCAGAAAAACGAGCCACAAAGTTAACTATCTGAGAAAGAGATTGAGAAATGCAGAAGTTATAGGCTTTAGTGCCAGCAGGTTCAGTGGTGTTGGAGTTAAGCCATTCAGTGTGATAAGAATTAAAGTCACCAATGAAAATAAAAGAAAAAGAGGTAGGGCATGGTCAATTTGATCAAAAAATTACATCTAAAAGTTTGCAGCCTTGTGAAGAAAAAGAGCAATATAAAGCAAAGAGTAAAGAGGTGATAAGCGGAAGCACATAAAAGATTGGTCAGTGGATTCAAAACTGATTTCTGGACAAATTGGTGAATCAAAATGCTTAAGTATACCACCAAGCTTAGCATGTGACTATTAGAGTCTTTGCAAATAATAAGATACCAATCAATACTGAGATCTAAATAAAGAACAGGCGAATCTAAATTAGTTTTACAAAGAATAAGCAAGTCTGGTAAATTATTTTCACAAAGTAAGCAAGTCTGGTAAATTAGTTTCACAAAGAATAAGCAAGTCTGGTAAATTAGTTTCACAAAGAATAAGCAAGTCTGGTAAATTAGTTTCACAAAGAATAAGCAAGTCTGGTAAATTTTGCAAGAAGATTCAATTAATTGAAAGTTACTTTAAAGATCACAACTATTAGTGAAAGATTTATAAAAACATTTGGATGTTGTTTTTTTTTAATACTTTTGGTTACTTTAAGGATGGTTTGAGTTTAAAAAGAAATTGGCTCATTTATAGATAGAGTATGACATCCCAAGCAATGAGCTATGCAATTGTCTCAGTCCTGTTATTTAATCCTAAGTTGTAATTTAAGGCTTCTTATGCTGCCTTGACAATTTACAACAAATCATTAACAGGTCACCATCTGTGGCACTGTTAATACTCTGATATTTTACAGCTGTTGATGAAATCAGTCTGTCTGAAAACTACCACAGAGAGATCCAGCATTCATCATCCTAGGCAGAAATTAATGTAAAGTTTTAAGTTAGATGATTTTCATGAATTTTAGTTTAAAACATTTTAATGAAGATTTCTTGTTAAATAAAATCTTTTTAAATATTATTAAAAAAGTTTTTTTTTTTTTTTTTTTTTTTTTTTCGTATTTCTAATGCAATTTTTGAAAAGAAATTTTATCGTTTTTGCATATTTTTTTTTAAATCAAGTTTGAAACTTGTTAAAGAAAACTTGATGTTTACACAGTTTTCTGGTTAGCCTGGTTACCCCCTTTTCTGTGGGGGTAATGAGCTTTTTGGTTAGCCTGCAGGGGGTAATGAGTTTTCATTACTAGTGACTGATGAATTAATGACTAATTATTGTATTAAAAAAAAGTCAATATATTTTTGTAAAAGTTTATGCTCAAAACTTTTTCATAAAAAAATCGCTCATAATAGTTTTTAATTGTAGAACCATCTAGATTTTTTACTAAAAAAGACTTGCTTTGAGGAAACTTTTAATTTTATATATATATATATATATATATATATATATATATATATATATATATATATATATATATATATATATTGTTTTTTATTTCCTATATAACATAAATCTAAATTCAATTTTTCCTATATTATAATATAAGCAGGGTGTAAACTAGCCCTGTGGCGCCCCGTCAAACGCCGTATTCCCAAATGCTCATAAAATTAAAATTCCTAATTTAAAGGTGAAAAAATCCCATACTCGAAATAAAATTTGCCAAATTAAAGTTTAAAAATAGTTCAGAAAATTAAATATTATTAAAAACTAATAAAAAAAATAAGAAAATTCTAATTTAATAATTGCGTAAAACTTGAAATAAAATTGTGATTATTGGTATATTTACGCGATTGAGCTCCAAAAATGTCTCTTCGACAAAACTTTTTGAGAATTGCGATTTTCGAAGCGATTTTAGGTATTTTCCCTGCAATTTGCTTGTAAAATTAATTTCTCATATTTTGCAATTAATTTTTTGCAATGCATTCCAACATCAGTAAATATATAAAAAAAGTCAGCAAGAAAAAAAGCACTAATCTAAAAAAATTTAAAACAATAATGTGTTCGGTTTAGAACCTGCAAATGCTATTTCTTTAAAAGTTTCGACGTTTTTGGCCGAAAAGTTAAATAACTTATTAAGTCTTACTGCAAACTCAACTTCAAGCAGTAGATGTGCTTTGTCAACAAAAATATTGAGAAACCTTTTATGTCAGATACTTTCGACATTTTGATCAATTACTGATATTACGAAAAGAAGTCGTCCATAAATTATGTAACGCAAAAAAATTTCAAAAAACATGTTGCAGATTTTAACCTCTTTTACGCTGCCATTTTCATTAAACTGAATCGGCTATTATGATTTTATATTTATATTTAGACCCTCCGAGGGAAAACGTTTTTTTGTTTTGTTTATTGTGAAAGTTTTCATTATTTAATTAATGGACAATTCCTAAGTCTTTTAGTTAAAGTTTTCCATTTTTGTGTTTGGTATTTTATATCAACTGAATTATTTGATCACATCGATTAAAGTCTTTCTACACTTATCTACTAATTAATTCACTAATTAATTCAATAATTTTTTGAAAAAACCATCTCTGAAATGTAAGTTACCTACAAAAAATGTTTAATGATTAAAAAAAAGTGGAACTACAAATTTATTGAACAAGCAAAATAGATTTCTTTACTTAACAGCTTGCTTGTATTTAACACGCAAATACGTATATTAAAACGTAAATTAAATACGTTTAAAAACAAGAAAGTTTTTTTATTACAACAAGCTGGTACTAGAAATTTAAATAGCAGAAAACAAGATTCACCGCTTGCTTGAATTTGAAATGTTACATTTTAAATTATCATAGTCATAACATTTCATAACTAACAATGAAAAAATAACTATTGGTATTCTTCATTGCCACGTAATCGCTTGCGATCAATATACTTCTATTATAACTTCATTTCTTTATGCGATTCATGAATAAAGAAAATTATTATTATTTATTAAGTATTAAATATACTCGTAAATATAAAATTTACGAGCTAGTTTTTACTATTTGTAAAACCTTATCTTTTTAAAAATATTTATTTTGATGACACAGTTTATTACATAACGATATAAGGGTTCGTCAAAAAAGTCAAAAATAATTTAAATAATAATTAGAATAAATTATGCAGCGCTGAAGTAAAGTAGAAATAAAAAAGAATTTAGAAGAAAAAAAAACCCACACATTCCCCGAACACATTGTAATCTCAGCGGAGAGGGGGAGGGGGCGGCGAGAGGATTTTTACTAATTCCCAATTTCGTTAAAACGCTGTTTAAAGTTTATTCCTGGTTAACACCCTGATAAGGTATATTTTTTTATCAATCATTTAGTTCTTTTATGATTTATTTACTTTTATATTGGTATTTTGTTATAAATATAATAATAGTAACAGTTACTATTATTGGTACTAATAAAGTATATTATATTTAAATATAATAATAGTTTCAATAAAGTATATTAATAACAGTTACTATTATTGGTACTAATAAAGTATATTATATTTAAATAGTTGTTTAGTCATTGTAGGCGTTTGATTTTCTAGATTTATACTTTAAATAAAGTTTTTTCTTTTAGTATATTAATGTTTTATATGTGTATATATATATATATATATATATATATATATATATATATATATATATATATATATATATATATATAATTTTATTTTATGTTTATATTATTTACACAAATAATAAATTATGAGTTTCAAACAAATTTTTGTTTTTAATTTAGGTTACAACTCTAGATGAAAAGCTTAAGGAAAAAAATCAAACTTTAGAAAATTTTGAACAAAATCACGAACTGAACAACAAAAGCTATAAAACTAAAGTAGTTTTTTTACATAAATATTTTTTTTAGGTTTTTATATATTTAAAATTCTAAAATTTAAATATATTTAATTTAATTATAATATACTTTTTTTTTTGTTTATTTTTAAAAACAAAAGTTTTAATATTTTCTTTTAAATTACTTAGTTTATTATATATTTTGTTAACTGAAGCATTTATGTTTTTATTGTCAGATAGTAGAACTTGAACAAAAGTTAATTATTGCTGAACGCACAACTTTATCTTTGCAAAATGATTCAATCAATTTAAGTACACTTCAAGAAAAAGTATGTTAATTTTTTTAGATGCAATTTTTTATAAAAAATTTTAAATAAAAAATGTAACTTTTTTATGATCATTAGCATAAGATTAAAACCTAATACACTTGTTTAGCCTTGGATAATGAGTAGTGCATGCAATACAAGTATTTTTCAGCCCTAGATATGAGTAATGCACACAGTACAAGAATTTTGACACAATTAGTGCACACAATACAAGAGTTTTGACACAATTAGTGCACACAATACAAGAGTTTTGACACAATTAGTGCACACAATACAAGAGTTTTGACACAATTAGTCCACACAATACAAGATTTTTGACACAATTAGTGCACACAATACAAGAATTTTGATACAATTAGTGCACACAATACAAGAATTTTGACACAAGTTTAATAGTATTATATATTAAATTAATATAGATATATATTTTTTTAATTTAAATTATTTTGTAATCAAATAAACCAGATAAAAATTCTATATAAAATATGTGTAGATAGCAGGCAGATAAGGAAGTTTTAATGCTTACAGTAATTATTGAAAGAGTTATATTTGCTCAAGTTGTAAAAAAATTCTGTTAAACTTAAAACAAATATTGGATAAATATTCAATAAAATCCCTGTAAGCAGAAAACTTTTTGACTTGTCCACAGCTTATTAGTTGTTTTTAATAAGCTGTGACAAATGAAACATAAAACCAAAGTTTTATGTTTCATTTACTTATAAAAGTAAAATTAGTACGTATCCTTATTAGTTAGGTAAGTATAATTTGCAGTAAACTAATTTTCAGAATAAAAGTAAAAAATTTTCTTTTTCTATGAGATCTTCTTAACCAAAAAATATGTTTTATTTTTATTTTTTTGTGATGTTTTAAAGATCATAAGTAATATCATACTTTGAGGGTTTAGTGATAACCTAGTTTTAATTAAAATGCATTTTTAATATTTATAGCTGAAAGAGCAAGATCAAAAGATATCATTGTTGAAAACTGAAAAAATGGAATTAGAAATATTAGCAGATCGAGCAACTTTTCTAGAATCTCAAGTAATGTATTTGCCATTCATATTTATAATTTTTATAAAATTTCATCCAGTGAAATTATATAAAAATTATGTTTTTTAACTTAAAACAAAAAATTAGGAATTTAACAAGATTTTTGGATTATAATTTTTTTTAATATTAGAAACCTATTTAATGTTCAAGGGTTGTTAGCAACTCCTTAAAATAATTTTAATTCAAAAAATTTTTAAATCAAGCATTTTTTTTTAATTTTATACAACATATTCAGGGGGTGCCAGCAGTCATTTTAAAAAAAGTCATTGTAAAAGTTATACAACAAATTTGTTGTATAATTTTTTTGAGGTGATGATGTTGGAAACCATAATCCAGCAAAAATTTCTAATAATAAATTATTAAGTGTATTGAGAGAATTCGTAAGAACTGGTGTTTTCTTACTAATATATATATATATATATATATATATATATATATATATATATATATATATATATATATATATATATATATATATATATATATATATATATATATATATATATATATATAATATTTACAGAAAATATACATTTAATGTATAAATATCTAAAATAAACATTGGTTATGTTTAAGATATTATCAATCAAAATTTTCATGTAACAAAATGAAAAACGCCACACTGGCTGCAAATCTTTTTGCTTTTGTACACAACATAATATAAAAACATTTTTTTTTTACTTTTATAAATCCAATAAAATTACTTTTTTTAAATACTCATTTTAACTAAAATTAATTTTTTCTAATAGCATATAAATAGATCAACTTGTACATCTTAAATATTATTTCACAATATTTTAATACAAGATAAAAACAAGTCAAACAAAGTAGTTTTTTATTTATTAAAGTTTATGTTCTATTTACCAGTTGTAAATACATTTACAAAAAATATGCACACACAAAAACACAATGGTTGTTTAAAACTAAAATTTAAAAATGCAAATACAAAAACACTAGGTTTAAAATTTTTTTGAATAAAAAATATTTTTAGGGGTGTTTCAAGACCCTTAAATATTTGACAGTTCCCTAATGTTTTGAAAAAAAAGTTTTTCAAAAGTATGTCATTCTGGTACTCAAAAGAAGCGAAATTATATAAAAATTTCAAAAATAAAAATCAATTAACATAAAAATAGTTTTTTCAGATATAATTGCCTAAAAGCTATTGTTTTTAGGTGATAATAAAAAAGTCAATATTTTCAAGTTTTTTTTAAATTAATTTATTAAATTATGTTTTTTATGTAAATTAATTATTATTTTTCAAGTTTTTATATAATTTCACTTCTTTTGAGTACCAGGTTGACATACTTTTGAAAAACTTTTTTTTTCAAAACATTAGGGGACTGTCAAATATTTAAGGGTCTTGAGGCACCCCTAAAAATATTTTTCATTCAAAAAAAGTTTAAACCTAGTGTTTTTGTACTATATAGAACATAATTAGTTAAAGAGCAAGAGACTATTTTTAAAAAAGTTGTTTTTTGCATCACCCTAATGTATATTTTTAACCTAATCCCAAAACTTTTTTTTTTTGGTTTTTAGAGTTTATTTGTGCAACTTTTAATTTTTATTTTTAAATTTTAATTTTAATTTATATTAATAGAATAACTATTTGAATCTGATTGTTTATTTGAGTTTGTGTTTCTATGTACTACCTTTTATACTTCTATTTAGGATTATATAGTTATTTTTCTAAATAATAATTTTGTAGATTTTTATAAATTTGTACAGAATAAACTGCTTGATACCAGATTCAAAGAAACAGTTGATCGGCTTGAAAAGGATAGAAGTGATTTAGAAGAAAAACTTAGAGAGTTTCATTCTGATGTAAATTTTTTATATTTTTAATTTTGTTAATTTTTTATTTTTTTTATAATTAAATTTTTTATCTGTTAATTATATGTACTATAATTGATACATAAATATTATACTTTAGTTATTGTTTTTGTACTTTTTTTTATTTTATATTTTACATAACAGGCACGCAAGAATTCATTTAGACAAGAGCATACAATGAAACGAAAAATGGTATTTACTTGAATTAAAAGAAAATATAATCAAGTAAAAACAGTTTTTTTTTTACACCACTATATCTTATTGTTATAAATTGTAGGAGCAATTAGAAACTAAAGTTGAAGAGCAAGACCGCAAATTATGCCAGTACCAGGAGCAGTTAAAGGAAAATCAGAAAGAGAAAGATGCCTTACAAGTGGGTTATAATTTGTGGTTTTTTTTTTTTCAATTTAAAGTTTAATAACCATTGCTCCACACTTGTCTGGCTTGGACAGGTTTCTATGTTGTCATTTTTTTAATTTAAATATAATGTTGAAGAATTTTTTTGTTGTAATGCCACCACTAGGAGGATTAGCATCCTAGATTTAAAAACTTTTACTTTTTACCTATAGGGTTTTTTACAGCAAAATTTTTTAAGTTTTCCTTGAAATAACCATAATGTATTTTTTCTTGTTTTATTATATTGTTTAACAACATTGAAAAAATTCATCAGTTTTTTTTATTTTAGGTAGAAATCTCAATTAAAGAAAATGAATACAAAAAGCTTTCTGCTTGTCTAGAAGATGCACTAGAGCGTACAAATGAGTTAAAAAATGAAGTGAGATCCTTGAAACTACTTTCTTTTCTTTTTTTTTTTTTTTCTTTTTTTTTTTTTTTTTTTTATTGATAACATTATATAGATCATCAAAAAGTTGTTTTTATGAAAAAGTTGTTTTCAGTAAGTAAAAAAATTTTTTTTGTAAACAACTATCAATTAAGCATCTATATAGCATTTTATTCAGACATGGCTGAATAAAATACAAGTTAAAGATCTTACAAAATGAAATGTTTAAGCTATGGTTTCATGTTTTTGCTATGATCTTACAAAATGTAGTGTTGTTATGGTCTTACAAAATAGTGGGCTATGATCTTACAAAGTAGTGTTGCTATGACCTTACAAAATGTAGCGTTGCTATGGTCTTAAAAAGTAGTGGGCTATGATCTTACAAAGTAGTGTTGCTATGATCTTACAAAGTGTAGCGTTGCTATGGTCGTACAAAGTAGTAGGCTATGATCTTACAATGTAGTGTTGCTATGATCTTACAAAATGTAGTGTTGCTATGGTCTTACAAAGTAGTGTTGCTATGATCTTACAAATTGTAGTGTTGCTATGATCGTACAAAGTAGTGGGCTATGATCTTACCATTTAGTGTTTCAATGATCTTACAATGTAGTGTTATTTTGATCCTACAAGGTAGTGTTGCTATGAACATACAATTTGCTTTTTATTTTATGTTACAAAGATTGTATAAATAAACAACGCACACACATACATTAACTAAAATACTTGTATATGACATGTGGTTTATATATGTTGTGTTGCGTAGAACAAAAGAAAAGAAAAAATTTAAATTATTTTGTAAAACCTTACTATTCAAGACACCTTCTATCTGAATTAATCTACATTTTATAGTAATCGATTGAGCTATCAATGATTATTCTTAGCTATATTTTAAAATAGTGTTTTCTATTTTAAGCCACAGCTCTGATTGTATTAATATTGTTATTTCTGTAAAAAAGACATGCATTTTTATTTTATTTACATAAAAAAGGCATTTATGTATTTTTTTATTCACAAATTATACTAATTAGGGTATGTCATACTTATAAATTTAAAACTTTCAGAAAATAATTATGTTATGACTTTTCTTTGGGGGCGGGGGTAAAAGTTGCATTATTATAAATAATATGAAAATAAAAACAACAATCAAAGCATAAGAATTTAAAGCTTTTAGTTTTTAAATTTGCAATCAGGCTACATAGTTTTATAAACTAAATAAATTTATTACTAGCAACATGAAAAAATTGTTTTTTGCAGAACGATAATCTTGTAAATAAATCATTACAAAAATTAGTTTTTAAAATTAGCTTATCCAACTTTATTATATGTTTAGGAAAAACTCATGATTGACATTAATTTTTTTTAATTAATTTTTTTGCTTTTAAACAATTTCAAACTAGATGTTATTAAAAACCTTGTTTATTAATAAAAAATTTATTAAATACAGGGCTCGAATTAACCCAAAAAAATCTAATTAGAAAAAATTTTTTTTTTTTTTTTTTTTTTTTTTTTTTTTTTGTCATAAAAAACTATTTAATACTTTCATTCTGACGGTAAAACAAACTGCAAAATTGTTTTAAAAATATAAATAGCTTGTGTTAATGTAAAACAACTTCATGACGCTGTTTTGTTGCTGTTTTATACAGTTTATAACCTTATTAAAATAAAACATGTTTAAAATTAAACAAAGCAAATAAATAAAATTGTTCTAATTAATAAATTAAAAAATTATCAACATAAAACCTAATATTTGCGCAAAAACATAATTATAGTCTATAATCAATAGACCAAACAAGTAAGATAAAAAAAAAATTAGATATCACATTTTTTATAATTTATTGTTTCTTTATCTCGAGGGCTAATAAAAGTTTAAGAATAATTAATTTTTTCATTAAATGGTTTTTAAATTGAAGTTTCATTAAATTTTTTTATTCAAATTATTTTCCAATAAAAAGCATAACAAAAAATTTTAGTTTGATAATCAAATTATATTTCTTTAAGTTTATGAATACGTGTAAAAACATTGAAGCAAAAAAGTAAATGGTTTCTATTAGCTTTATTAAATTATTAGAAAAAAAAATTAATAAAAACAAATTAATATATATTTTAATAAACTTAAAGAAGTAAAATTAATATTATAAAAATTTTTTGATAAAATAATAATTTAAATTATTAATTTAATAAGTTAATAATTTAAATTAATAAGTTAATTTGGCGCATAGTTCTTCCAAACAAAGATAAAAACCAGACTGTTTTGTTAAAAAAAAAAAAAAGAACAAAAAAAAGAGTTTGCTTTAATGTCTTTTCCCCTTTCAACCTTCTGCTTTAATGATCTTTTAAATTTTATTGGCTTCCACGCAGAGATCTAAAGTAATTTAAATTCAAAAGTGATTTACGTTATAAGAAAATCTTTGTGCCAAAGAACAAATGATCATTTATCTAGAAGATAAATTTAGCTTACGTACTTTACTATAACAACATTACTTTTAAGAATTGCCACACAAAAAATGCTTAACTAGAAAAAAAGTAAATAAACAACCAAAAACAAATCGCGAAAATATTTTTTTAAAGAAAAAACTAATTGTGAAAAAGTGAAAAGCAATCGCGATTGCGTTACGCTTAATTCAAGCTCTGAAATAATCAGGCAGATATTTTTTCAGATAGCAAGTTTAAAGCAATCACTCAAAGAATTTTTTTTTTTTTTTTAGATAGCAAGTTATTTTTATTATTATTTTTTTTTATTTTTTTATTTTTTTAGAGCAATCACTCAAAGAAATTTTTTTTTTTTTTTTAGATAGCAAGTTTAGAGCAATCACTCAAAGAAAAAGATAGTATAATAATGTATATAAAAGAATCTGGTGAGGTAAATCTTTTTTTTTTTTTTTTTTTTTTTTTTTTTTTTTTTTTTTTTTTTTTTTTTTTTTTTTTTTTTTTTTTACTGTTCTTTTTTTTTTTTTTTTTGTTGTTGTTAATTTTATTTTTATTATGATAGTAATAATTATTATTATTATTTTTTTATTGTTATTGTTTGTCTATAGTGTTCACCAATAAATAATTCAATGGATTCACTGTTACGAGAGGAATTAACTTCACTTAGGGTAGCTCTTTTAATTCTTTTTAAAGAAATTAAAGCAGGAAATGCACAAGTTTTTTTTAATTTTAGTTTTTACTTGTTTATTTTTTTTTTTTACTTGTAATTGTTTTGAAAACTGCTTTTGAAATTACAGTTGACTCTTGATACTAACTCTCAGTTTATTTAATCTTATCAACAGCCCTGATACATAGATGTGTTTTGTGGCGATAATAATCTTTAAAGATTTATATATTTGCCAAGATTCATTTGGTGAAGGACAGATGTGGTGTTGGGGTAAAGAAATATTACGTTGATGTTGCTTATTTCTCCAATGTTTGAACAGACAAGGTAGTTATCTACTAGGAGTGCCTCCTTACTGTTCTGAGCATGAAAAGAGTCCAGCTCCATTACCCACTCTTTAAAATGTTCTGATCATTTAACCTTCTAGTTGTTCTGATATATGCAACAAAATTTTTTGAAATGCTTTAAACATTGTAGGATTTTAGATTTGCCAATAACAAACATGGATAACTTTTCTCCCATAGCACTTCCTGTTGCCATGACTGCTAGTCTAATATTATCATTAAAAATGTTTTCTCGTTAGCATTTAAAATATTTTCAAGTTTGTAATTTGAAAGCAATGCTGAAAGTGTCATTTATGCACATACTTTTACGGTAATCTCTTTTGTCCTAAGGAATTATAAATACACCATAATTAACCTAGCGTACATTTCATTTGTATTTTGATAAACCTGATTGCATTTAGTTTTAATTTTGTTAATTTATAGAGATTATCTTTTTCCAGAATTCCGAATAGTTCTATAAATTTTTTTATTTTTTCCGGATATCCAAATAGATTTTTGAAAATACAAGTTAAAAATATTTTTTTGTCATCAATTAATTAAAACAGTAAAGTTATTGTTCATCGATTACTTTATGCTATCTTATACTTAGGTGAGACATTATTTGTACAAATAAATTATTCTCATTTGTTTGAGTATATTTATTATTATAGGGATTCCCAAGTGCCGAGAGATATAGGAGTAATTGGTCAGCTTTACGTGAATAAAAATTTGAGGAAAATCCGTAAAAATTTTAATCATGTAAAGCTGAGCTATTACTCAAAAAAAACACTGAGTAAAAGCAATTGCTTTTTTTTATTCCCTTGGCCTATTAAAAAATATATGAATGTAATTAAATTATTAAATAAGTTTTGTGTTAATTAAAATTACCAAGTTAATCTATTTATTGAGATATTAACAAAAAAACATTTATTGTTTTGCCATAATATTTTCGGTTGAAAGGTTAATATATACTTAATAGAGTAAAACGGGGTCAAACCGCACACCATATCATTCTACACACTGATCGGAATTATCAATAAAAACTAATCGGATATGGCTATGAAAAAAATAAAAATAAATTCAAATACAGAACTACCTCCTCTATTCGAATTCATAAAATTAGATGGCGATTGAACTCCATTTTTTTCTTTTATACAACTTTAACGGAGAGTCAAAAAAAATTTTATATTTTTTATTGTTGCGAACAAAATAGTGCTTGAACTGAAACTGCACGCTTGTTTAATTACTTAGTTTAGTTTTTCACAAGTGACTAAGCACCTATTTTTATTTAATTAACTTAGTCTTAATTCCGGCTTAATTAAAAATGAACTATGATGTTATGTGTTAATATAATCATCTCTTACTCATTAAAAACCAATTATTATATTATTTCTCAATCACCACTCACTCAATTCAATTTAACTCACTCACTTTAGCATGTCAACTAAAAAAACAAAAGCATACAAAGAAGACAATATACTAACCGCATTAACTAGTATGAAAGAAAATAAAACATCACTGAGAAAAGCTGCATTCAAACATGGCGTTCTAGTCTCAACACTCAAAGATCGCAAAAATAACAACAACAAAGGCTTCCATGGCTCAGGTACAACAACAGTACTCTCAAATGAAACAGAAAGATTGATGGTGTATGCGTTCCAATTACTTGGTGACTGGGGTTATGGTTTAATCCGAAATGAAATCCTAGAATTTGTATGTGGCTACCTTAAACGCGAAAATCAATTGCACTTATTTAAAAATGGCAAGCCTGATAAATATTGGTTTTATGCCTTAATGAAAAGATGGTCAAAAGAAATTTTAACAAGAAAACCAGATAACTTAGCATCTAAAAGAAGTATTTATACCCAAAACTGAGCAAGTTGGTGGTATTCATATTTTAGTATTAAATGGAAACTTTGGAAGCGGTATTGATGTACATAAAACACAATATAATCTTGATTTATCTACCAGAGTATTCTTTGCATATTCTGCGACCATTTGGATAGAGGTGTCTATTGTCAAGTCAAACAAGCATGGAAAGAAATTTTTACAAGTTATTACAAAAACTCCAAATGTAAGAATATAAATAAACAAAATTTTCCACTGTTGCTCAAACTGTTGTACGAGAGTGGTAAATGTTTTATACGCTTGCATGCAATCACTGGTTTCCAGTACACTAGCTTATTTCCACTTAATAAAAACAACATAAATCATAAGGCGTTAGCAATCACACAAATGTTTAATCCCTCATCATCAACTTTAGCAGCCTCTGCGGCACCTACACCATATTGTTCAGACACAGCTTCATCATCTTTAACAGTCGCCGCAGCTCCTACTCCAACTACATACAGATTACCCTTCTTAACTACACCAGCTTCAGGTTTTGATAGGTATCAAGCATGTGTTGGGCGTTGTAGAAACAGTATTGAGCAGTTTTTTCAAGCCAGAAATCAATCGCATGTTAAGAAATCAAAGCAGTGCAACATGTCAAAACTTTTTGGAAAATGTATTACCGATGAAGAAAAAGCAACAAAGGAAGCCGTGAAAGTTGCTAAACTTAACTCTCTATGCCAAGTACTCAAATGTCTGAACATAACAATGCTGAGCAACCTCTGCAAAACATTAATGAAGAACAAGTACCAGCAGCCAAATAATTAGATGTTGCAAAATGTAAAAAGTGTACAGTACAGTTACTCAGAAATGTTGCAATGTGAGAATTCAATGTGTCAGGAACGGTTGTGCAAAGAAACATGTTTGCCAAAGAAATGTGTAGTTGGAACTAAATTTTTTTGTTGCAAAAAATGTAAAAACTTTAATATCGATTCTTAAATATAAGTTGTGTTGAAAAAACAAAAAAGTTAAATTTTAAAAAATTCAATTTTTTCTCAAGTGTGCGGTTTTATCAGAATGTCGCCTAAAATCGCACAATTTTTTTTTTCTTTACATTCAGTATTTTCAATAATTTTATTATTATTTTTTTAACATATATTTATATTATCTTATGTAGTTTTTTATTACCTATCTAATAAAATAAAAAAAGAAAAAGAAAAAAGTTATTTAGTTTTTATTGATAAGTGTGCGGTTTGACCCGGTTTTACTCTAATTTTTCGTTGTAAAATATCTGGTTTGAATAATACTTACCGCATAGTTTTCAAACGATTTTCCAACAATTTCACAATTAAAATAGGGTTTTCCCCCTAAATGAATAAATGTTTGTGTTTTTAGTTTAACTGGAGACAAAATAAAAATTGTAATTAAACAAAAAATTTTCTGCTCTGATTTATTTTTATTTCCATTAAAATATTTTGTTTTCAGTTTCTGTGAACTCAAATTAGTTTCCGTTATTTTTTTTTACTAAATCCAAATAAAAAACAAAAGTTATTATTTTGGTTTTAATATTTTACCGGTAAAAATTGTGTCATAATTTTTAAATTTACATATCTTATATCTATAGCACTAATATTAATTTTGTTTTTAAAATAAATCAAATACAAGTTGGACTTTTGAAGCGTTCACTTATTGAGATTGATATGTTATTTTTATTTGTTTATTATATGTTTTATAAATGTTTGCACATGAAAGCATTGATCTACATAAAAACTATTTCCATAAGGGAAAATTCAAATAAAAATATTCCCATAAGGGAAAATCCAAAACATCCAATCATAACGTTTATAACTCGAGTTTAAGTTATTTGAGTAAGCTTTTTTGTTTGTCATTTATTAACCACAATAGCGTTAATCAAAAACCACTTAGAGATCACTTTAATTATTTGGGCTATAATTCTTGTTTATTTTAGTTTATAAACTCTTAAGTAATTTTTAATTTATAAACTCTATTTAAGTAAGTATTGAAGTACTTTTCTTTTATATAGAATAATGCCTGCAAAAAAATTTCTTTTCAAACACATGAGATATCCTTAAATAAGACAAAAAAGTTTATTCCCAGATTTTTCCGGAAATGTCTTTAAAATATTTTTCCGGATTTTATAAGAAAAAAATTTTCGGGTATTTTAAATATGACCAGGATAATCTATGTAATTTTTGCATTAGTTTTATTGTAAGAGTAGCATGTTTTTAAGTATAATTTTTTCAATTCAGAAAATAACTTTCCAAAAAAAGAATATTTTTGGAAAGAAAAAAACAGGTATAAATTATGGTTTAAATTTATTTTTAGGCAACATTTAATGAACGTGAACAAGCATTAACAGAGAGGTAGGATAATTATAATAAATGTTAAAATATTTTTTAAAGTAACATGTAAATATTATAAATGCATGATTTGTGAGTATATTAGCATTCGTTGCATTTAGATTCGTTCAATTTATCATTATTATTTTTATTTTATTTATTCTTTATTGATAAGCATATTCATTGATACAAAATAAAGTGAATAGAGGAGTTTCAATTAGTTCTTTTTTGTAGATAAATTTTTTTTTGTAATGGAAATCATTTTCTAACAGAAACTTCAATTTATATATATATATATTATTATTATTATTATTATTATTATTATTTTAGAGATGAAGAAATTGAAGAATTAAGAACTGTTCTTGAAGCTAGAGATAATGAACTAGCCACTGTATCACAGCAGGTTGTTTGTTTGTTTGTTTTTTTTAAAAATAAGATTTTATTATTTTTTAAAAATGCAACAATTTTTTTTTTTTTTTTTTTTTTTTTTTTTTTTTTTTTTTTTTACAGCTACGAGATTTTCAAGAAAATAATAAACATTCGCGTACAAGACTTAATGGAACTTCTGATAAAGGTTTATTAAAATGTTACTAATACAATTCAACTTGTTGTTGTCAACTTGTTTATAAATATACAATGTACTGCAGAATATATATTCTGCACATTTTAATTTTTTAAATGCGCACTCAATCTAGACAATTTTGCCATAACAAATTTTCTTTAAGTAGATGGTTGGCAGAAGAATTGAATAACTGTAAATTGTCCTAGTCAGGAAAAGAGATGCAATCTTGCAATGATGGAACAGACAATCTCTTACGATGATGGAACAGAGGCTTAAAATTGATAACTAGATTAGGTTCAACTACATTTTCAATATACTTTTAGGGTTTGTCATAAAGGGATTAGGTATTAAATTTGATACCAGATTTCATACAATTGCAAAGCAGTTATTTGTAGAGATAAAGAATTGAATCGAATGTAAGAAAACAATAAGAGCAATAAAAAGATTGAACCAGATATAGGATATAGATATAGGAACTTCTTTAAATAAGTTCAATAAAAAGTTCAATATAAAACGGCATTTAAAAAAATTTGTATTGCTCATAAGAAATGTTATTCTAGTGCTAACATAATCATGCATAAAATTTTGAGTTTAAAGCTAAATTAAAAAAGGTCATAAAGGTTTGACCAGAAAACAACAAAATTATTGCATTTTTTGTGGAACAAAAACTTTTTTATATCATATATATAAAATATATATATATATATATATATATATATATATATATATATATATATATATGTATATATATATATATATATATATATATATATATATATAACTTTGCAATGGATTGTACATATAGTTTACATGAGAGGTTAGTAGTAATTGACTTTGTGAAAATGTAAATTAGTTGACTCATAAGGGGTGTTATGGGTGTTCACAAGGGTGTTGTCATTCATCAATATAGAAATATCAACAATATTACAATAATTGTTAGCAGTAAAAAACTGAGTTTTAATAAGGTTAAAATTCATAGGCCACTGCAAGGCCCAAGTTATGACAGAAAGAAGATTTGTTTTATGTGATCAAAAAGTGATTACTTCTTGTCAAGACTGGATTATATAGTTAAGTTGTCATCAAAATGTAAGGTTATTATGAAGATTATTAAAGTTGATAAAAACAGTTGAGGGTGAAGGATGGAATCTTGAAGTATCCCAGAAATACCAGGAAATAATGAAGAGTATTGTCTATCAATGAATATTTTAATACTGTGGTTAAAAAATAATGGTTCAACGGTTTTAGTAAAACTTACCCAGATATTGTATGAGGCAAGCTTAGGAAGAACGCCTACATGAAAAACATTAGCCCTTGTCTCATTGCCTCCATCTAATACATAATAGAACTCTTCTGTTATAACAAGTCATAAGTCAACTCTAGATTGAGATGATCAAAATCTGTATTGAATGTCAGAAAGTTTTCAGAATCAAGATGATATTTTTGAAGTTAGTAAACTAAAGATACAAAAAACTTTGATAATAATAGAGAAAAGCTTGGGAGTTAGGGGTCAGATTGTTTTCCAGAGTTTTTAGAAAATTGGAACCACAGATGCAAAACAAGATTAAGTTAAACACTTATGGAAGACAGTATCTTTTCACATTGATTGCTTGGAATGATAAAGTGTTGTTTGTTCTCTAGAAAGTTTCAATATGATCATAGTATGTTTCAAACTAGGGCTATGTAGCCAAGGTAAAAAAATTGGCTCCAGCTCCAGCTCAATTAAAATTTTTACCTTCAGCTCCAGAGCGGTTCCTAAATAAGTAAATCAAAATAATAAAATATTTTATAAAAGATTTTGGTGGTTATATCAAGATTGCTTGATATAAACTCAAGTGCAGAAAATAGCCTCTACATTTCTGGGTGGCCATTGGTCATGGAATTCATGGAAATGCCATGGAATTTTATTTGGTCATGGAAAAAGTCATAAATTAAAAGTCATGAAAAATTCATGGAATTTTTTTAAATTATATTTATTTTTTTCTACTTGCAATATTTTTAGGATGTAAAGAAAAGTACTAGTATGTCTAGTCTAAGTCCTTTTTGAGAAAAATATTTTTGCAGTGCAAGTTATCAGAGAAGTAAAAGAAAAAAAGTTTTTTTTCAGACATGATTTCAAAACTTTCTACCAATGAGTTTTTGGTTTATATGTTTTATAATGACCAAGTTGCAAATGCTTTGTGCATGGCAAGTTCTGAGTAATTTACTAGTTAGTTGTTTATCATAAAAGTTTATGAAGAGTCATAGAAAAGTCATTGAATTTTATTTTTAAATTTGAGTGACCGCTCTGCATTTGCTTATGAGAAAACTATACAAGTGACTACTCTGTATCCTTTTTGGTTATTCCTCAATGTCTTCCAAAGTTAAATTCACTTTTAAACATTTCTCTTCTGGTTGTGACAGTTGTCCATGAAATTTGTATTAAAAGTGTTTTCATTTAAATAATTAATTTTGGTCACTCTAAGTTCTCCCTAAGCTCGCTTCATACAATCTGGGTAAGTTATATCAACAGTTTGAAATGACAAGTCTAAAAATTGTTTTGATAACATCGAATTGATTTTAGATGTTAATTTTTTTTTTTTGTACAATTATAACTAATTAGTTTTTTGTTTTGTTTTTTTGGTACTTAATTTTTCTTTTTTATCAAGCTCTTTTTCAAACTTGTCTTAATCTAAGTCTTAATTAGTTTTAGGTAAATCTAATTCTTAATCAGAATTCGATTTACCTAAAACTGAATGAAGTCCTGAAGATGATTAAGCGGGTTTTTTTCTTGACTTATATTTTTGGCTCTTTTCTTACTCTTTTAAAAGTTATTTTCTGCTTTTAAAGCTTGTTTTGTTCATCTGATTCTCTTATAAAAAATATTCTACAATTAACATCAACATAAACTGCAGCTAGAAATATATTATGAACTTCTTAGTTACTCCCTAACATACCAGACCTTTGTCAAAATTTGAATAGTATATGTTTCTTTTAAAGCATCACAATTAGCTAACTGCAAAGTGTGAACAAAGCAGCGCATCACCTCAATCTTAGTATGTTTACACCCATCTTGTAGAATTAAGGTTAGATTTTTTTCACGAACTGCTGCATTTTCTCATTTGTATCCTGTCATAAATGCACCTCATGTTCCTTATCATGTATAGTTTCATCCAGAAAATTTTCATCATCTGAATTTTTATTTAAAAATGTGATTGTCTCTAATGTTTTAAAGTAACTTTTAAAGTAATGTTTTAAAGTAACTTATTTATTAATATTTTAAAGTAACTTTTAAAGTAATGTTTTAAAGTAACTTTTTAAGTAATGTTTTAAAGTAACTTTTTTAAGTATCGTATGCAGCAAGATAAACTACATGACACATTACAAAAAACAATTTGATCAAATTTATAAAAAAAAACTCTACCACTATTTGAATGTATACAACAAAAAACTTTATACATCAGCTCTAGTATAATTTATGAAATAAAAAATTTCCAAGTGCCTCAAGGTGAGCATCAAATACTTAACACTTAATCTATACATATAATATAAGTATAAAATGCTTTATTTAGAAATCATAAAACTTAAAATGACATTAATTACATTTTAATTTAAATAATTTTTTTTTATATAAAAAATAACTTCATAGTACTTGGGAATCCCTTTAATAAAAAATACTCATACTTTGATCTTCCAATTTATCAAAAAGAGGAGCTAGCTTGGAGACAGCTTCAGGACCAGCTCCGCTTAGAAATATTTCAGCTCCAGCTTCGGCTCAACTCCTTGTAAGAACACCAACTCCAAATAGCTCTGAAGCAGCTCCAAAACCTTGTTTCAAACCACCTAAAGGAGAATAAGGAGACACTGAGCACAAGCTATGTTCAAAAACAAATTACAAATCAAGAAGTGATTATCTGGAAAATGAGTCACAAAGTCAAATATTTAAGTAAGAGATTAAAAATTGCAAAAGTTACAAGCTTTGTGCAGTTTTCAAAGGACTGTGCCAGAGGATTTAAATCTGATCTAACACAAGAATTGATATGCAAGTAATCTGTGATCCAATTGTGTATTGCTAATGTTGAATTGATATGTAAGTAATCTGTGATCCAATCCAAATATATGATCCAGATCCAAAGATGAATTAGCTGAATTAAGTTAGTCTCACAAAGAGCAAGAAAGTCTGATTAAAAATTCAAAAGAAAAAATTCAACAGATAAAAAAGGTACTTAGAATGTGTGACCACAATTTTTTATAAAAGATTGATTAAAATAATTTGGTGATTGGTTTGGTGGTGGTGATTGGTTTAGTGGAGGTGATTGGTTTGGTGGTGGTGATGGTTTTTATGTTTATTATTTTAAGGCGCTTTAGTCATGTTTGATGCTATTAGAGAACTTGACTTGATTATAGATAATGCATGACACCCCAAACCATGCATTGTCTATTATTTATAATTAACATAATATTGTTTCAAAGAGTTCTTTATGTGGCTATGACAATCCATGCCTTAAAAAAAATCAGGGACATCAATGTACAACATGGCACTTTTAATCTCTAATATTTAACAGGTTTGGATAGAATCAGCCTTTGACAGCAGCTACTACAGAGTTCAGGAAACCTTATTACTAGTCTCAGAACTAAACAAAAAGTAAAATAATTAGATATATTAGGTATATACCACAAAAAAAAGGAGTAATAATCTAGTCTCCTGGATTATAGCGACCTCTGTAGCTGTCTTCTATACTGTAATGATTTTAGTGACCTCTGTAGCTGTCTTCTATACTGTAATGATTTTAGGCTAGAGAATTATATTATTTTTTTAATGTTATACTAAAAAATGTTTAAAACTAAAAATAATTGAAATAAAAGCTAGCTAGAGGCAAGTAGATATTTTTTATCAAGATGGCAACAATAAGGAAAAAAGCATATAATAGAAAAACATATTTAATGTATACATGTATAATAATTTTATGCATACATTAATTGTTTTCAGATTTACAGAAAACTGTTGCACGTTTAACTGCACGTATTCAAGAATTAGAAAAACTTAAGATCGAAAACATGGTAACTTTTTTTTATATTCAATTTAGATTTTTTTTTATTTAATCAAAAATTCATTTATTACTTGAAATTTAAAATTATTCTAAAGTGAATCAAATAAATATATTTGATTATAATGTAATAAATTAATATGATCATTTATTATGATTAATTTTTGTAATGTGAAATATGGGTTGTTGCAAATAAATGAAAATTAAAAGAAATAATAATAGTTTTTAAAATTTCCCTTTTCTACTGAATTGCCCCTAGGAGATTAAGTTAATAAAAATCTCCTAGGAGATTAAGTTAATAAAAATCTCCTAGGAGATTAAGTTAATAAAAATCTCCTAGGAGATTAAGTTAATAAAAATCTCCTAGGAGATTAAGTTAATAAAATAATAAAAAAAGAAGCTTTTATTATCCTTTTTTATTTTATTTTTTTTTAATGTATTATTTTTATTTACTATTATTTTATTTTTTTTACTAGAGTTCTCAGTATGAGATTGAGAACAGATCATTAAAAGCAGAACTAGATGAAGCTCAACAAAAAATACGCAGCCTTCAACAAACTATTTTTGATCTCAAGAAATGTGTTAAAAAAGAAAATGCAGCTTGTGTATAAGTTATTTCTTTCTTTTCCGAAATTCTCTTCAAATTCTCCAAAATGAATTTTGATAAAACAAAGCTTTAAGCATTTAATTAAAGTTTAACATTTTTTTACTTTTTTTTTTTTTTAATTTTAATTGTTTCTTATGTAGATACACAAATTACTATAAATAGTAATTATTTAGAGTCTTTATTTTTAATGACATATTTTCTTAAATTCAAAATAGAAACAAACTTCAGAGGATTCAAGCATATCATCTGATAAAAACTCAAATGATTTTCTAGAAGTAAACTTCAAGTATCTTTTTATGTCAACTAAAGTTGAAACACAAATTTTTTAAAGCATTTTTTGCTTTTATATATCATTCTTTACTTTATTTTTGTTTTTATATATCATTGTTTACTTTTTTTTGTAACCTTGACTACTAAAGATATTTAAAGCATGTTGTATTGAAATATATGTGCAGTACTAATGAACAGGTGTTTATAGTTATTAAATATTTTTTAATTAACAGTGTTCAAGTTTTAAAAATTGTTTTTCAATAATTAAATAATATTTCTTTATCTTGTAGTCACGGCAACTTGTTAGTGTCATTGGTCATTTATTGCATTTTAGTGCACGTGAAACTGCTATAGTTAAGGACTGCTTTGATTGGAAGGTAATTTTATTGTTGATTTTTTTTTAGCTGTGGTTAGAAAATTTATCTTTTTTTGACTTTATTTTTTCTTTTTTTGTTTAGCTTCCATTAGAAAAATAGTTTCAATATTCGTGTCTTGCAATTTTTATGATATATTTTAATTGTAAATAAATTAGTCAATTTTATATTATAATTACATATTTATTCAATAATATTTATTTTTTAAATAAAAAAACATTTAATGGATTTTAGAAGAATTCATATAGAAAAAAGATATATATAAAACGATATATACATATATATTATTTAGCAGAACATATTTATTAAAGGAAAAATTTGTACAAAATCAAAAATGCTTTTTGGTATTTAGTAGAATATATTTATTGAAAAAAAATTTATACAAAATTGAAGTGTTTTTTATTTGTTCAATATGTGCTAATGGTGTAAATGTGAATATAAGACATTTTTTAACTAGTATTCTATATAAACATGAAATATGTGTTATATATCAATATGGCATAAACATTTAAAGATGTCTAAATAATTGTTTTTAATTGTGACATTCTTCGATTTAAAAGTATTATAAGTATATATTTATAATACTTTTAAATCGAAGAATGTCACAATTAAAAACAATTATTTAGACATCTATAATATAATTTTTATGATCAACACTTTATAGACAAGAAATAAAATCGAGTTTTTTTATTTTTTAATATTTAATATTTTCTATTTACAATTTTTCTTACTTTTATATAAATTTATGATTTTTGATTCTTTGATTTTCATTTTTGCTACTTTTATTCTTTGATTTTCAAATTTTCTACTTTGAGCTTCAAACCTTTAACAGTTTCTAAAAAGTGATTTAAAGAAATTATGTGAGAATTGTCATTTTTGGTAAAAATTAAGTATGTAACTTTGTTTTGTTTTTTTTATATATTTATATATTTTTTTCATTCGTTTTATGGAAGTTTAAAATTTGTTTTATTTATAAGAAAATGGTAAAAAGAAATACATTAAGTAACAGTGAACAAAAAAATGATTTGGTTATTGACAAAGAAAAATCAATTAAGTACAAACGAAAAGAAAAAAACAAGCTTAAGGTAAATATATATAATATTAATATAAGCTTTCATTATTTTAATAAATTATTCTTGAAAATTTATTTAGAATTAAAAATCTTTTTATTTGTTTAATATGTGTTAATGTTATTTAGTGGAATTAGATAATTTTTTAACTAGTATCAGCTCTATATAAAATATGAATATATAAAGTATAACTCTATGTATTATATGTCAGATTTTTCAATTTAGAGGTATTAATATATTTGTTTTTATGATCTTTAGCAGGCAAGAAATAAAATTGATTTATGATTTGTAATCATTCCTACTTTATTAAATTTCGATTTTAATTTACAACTTTCTCTACTTTTATATAAATTTATTTGATTTGACTTGATTTTTGCTGCATTGAGCTTCAAACCTTCAACAGTTTCTGAAAAGTGATTGAATAATTTAAAAAAAAATTGTGTGGGTTCATTTTTGGTAAAATATTAGTGTAAAACTGAGATTGATCATTTTTAGTAAAATGTGTAAAACTTTTTTTATTTTTTCAGTAGTTTTAAGGAAGATAGATTTGTTTTATTTTGATTTTAGAAAATGGTAAAAAGAAATACAATAAGTAACAGTAAACAAAAAGAAAATTTTGTTATTGACGATGAAAAATCAATCAAGTACAAACGAGGAAACAAAGTCAAGCTTATGGTAAATATAACAGCTATATGTAATGTTAATATAATGAATAATATTTTATTAATATACTATTATATTATATATAATATAATAGTATATTAATAAAATAAACTTTTTATATTTAATAGTTTATATGTTTTATATAGTATGTTATATATTTAATATTTGCTTATATATAAACTTTAAGTTAACAAAAGATAGACGTTTGAAAAGCAACTTAAAATTGCTTGAGAAGAAAAACGAAGAAGCTATCATTCAAGCAACGCGATCTGAAATTTTGCAAATTGAAGAAACTGGGTAAGTGAAATAAATAAAATGGTAATTTAAAATTGTAACTGAAAATTTAAACTTTTTTGTTTCTTTATGGTAAAGGTATTTGGAGGCTGATGATAATGAGAATACATATGAATACCGACAATCTGAAATAGCAGACTCAGTAGATATATCAAGTGCTCAAAAAGTATGTTTGAAGTGTTTTTTCTATGTGTTTTGCCATTCCACAATGATTGTTTAGCCCTTAGTATATAGTAATATGAATAGCAGTTTTATGGTTTACAATGTTTTGAAATAGCTGTTGATATATATGTTGAATTGAATTAGCTGAAATAAAATAACATAATTTTAATGAAATAATTTGTTTGTTTTTTAAGATTCTATATTTTTCTTATTTTTGTCGAAATTTTTTTTTTTTTTTTTACTTTTTTATTTGTTGGACTTTTATTGATTTTTTATTTTTCATTGATTTTTTTATTTAGTATTTTAATCTAAATCTTGATCAGTTTGGACCTTACAAAATCAATTACACAAAGAATGGAAAGTAAGTTTCTATACATTTAAAACTTTTATATTTCTTACAAAATCAATTACACAAAGAATGGAAAGTAAGTTTCTATATATTTAAAACTTACAAAATCAATTACACAAAGAATGGAAAGTAAGTTTCTATAAAACCTTACAAAATCAATTACACAAAGAATGGAAAGTAAGTTTCTATATATTAAAACTTTAAAAAAATAATAATAACAAACTGCATTTTATTTTTTATTATATTTCTTGAGATTAAAAGTGTAACTAATGGACTAATTGAGAAAATTACGATAAATCGTAAAAGGAAATCAAATAATTAGTCATAATTTTAAGGACCACTTATTTAAGTTACTCTACGTAACACTAAAACAGTACTTCTAAACAATATCAACTTAAAATTTGCTTAAAGGAAACCTCAAATGCTAAAACAAGTTATTTTCATAAAGAGAATGTTGAAAAAAAAATTTGGTTTAGATTTATTCTTTATTTTGTATTTTTTTGAAAATACAAAATAATAAACATATACAAAGAAAAACTGTTTTTTTTTTTTTTTTTTTTTTTTTTTTTTTTTTTTTTTTTTTTTTTTTTTTTTTGAAAAAACTGTTTATTATTTTTTATTTTATTTTTATTTTTTATTTTTTGAAAAAAACAAAATAAAAACCAAGAAAAATTTTGTAGTTTTAGTCAGAGGTGGAAAGTAACGAATTACATTTACTCGCGTTACTGTAATTGAGTAGTTATTTTGAGAATTTCTACTTTTTGAGTATTTTTTTAAATGTGTACTCTTACTTTTACTTAAGGATTTTATTTCTAAAGTATTGTACTTCGCTACGTTTAAAATCATATGCGTTACTGAGTAAAAAAAATTATGTAGTGTTTAATTTCACAAATACTATGATTTAATTTTTTTGTTTTTTTGAGTTTTGCTAACTTTAATAAATGAATCAGTGTTTTTTAAAAGGGCTGATTTGCTCAAAACCCGTTTTTGAGAAAACTGAAAAAAACTCTTTATATCTTTTAATATTAAATATACAGAATTTGTGTAATATATTTTTAAAATATATGTGCAAGAGTAACATCTTAGTACACTTTGATAATTGTTATAACATTTCGTTTGTTAATAATTAATGTATGAAAGTTCCAAAAATTTGCCCTTTTAAAAAAAATCGAATATTTCAGGAAGGAAAACAAATTAAAACTCCGTAAGAACTACAGCTATGTACTTTAAAACATTATTTTAATGTGCCAGTAATAAATATTATACATATATATATATATATGAATTAATAACAAAAAAAGCTATCAGTAAGCATTAAGTCTCGGCATATTAATCTAATTCTTCCTCAAAGTCACTATCAGGGAGAATCTCACATTCATTAGTTGGCCAGGAGTACAGCTCGTTATAAAACTCGTTGAATTCTTCAGGAATGAATTCTTTTAATTTGTTAAGGTCTTCCACCTTGGCTTATTTCAGTGTAACTTTGCCACTTGGATAAGCTAAACTATCCACCTGTGCTACAGTACCCATATGTTTGGGCGTAAAAAAAGTAAAATGACAGACCAAACCATTAATATTGGTGAATGCCTTAATGTAGCCTTTTTTATCATGCTCATATACAAAATGAAACAAGTTACTAATTGAAAAGTGAACCTTCTTTTCTTTTGAGGTATTTTTACCCTTGGTTTCTGAAGAAATACAAGATTTTTTGTAATGTTTTGAACTCCAAGCTTTAAAATCAAAAAATTCAGTTGCATCTACAATTTCTTTCACCGTAAACTTTTGTGATCTGGAGCTGCTAATAATAAGCTCGGTGAGTTGATGCATGTGAAAAAGACAATCGTGTGTTTTTAAAACACTTGAAATTATACCAAAGTCCCTATCGCAAGGGAGGAAACTATGCCCTCTTATTGGGAAGAACTGTTCAACTTTATCAAACCTACCACTGTCAGTTAAGTATAAACAAAAACGTGATAAGGTCTGATTTTTATTTTGTCCACTACAGTCACAAAACAAACGTAATGTATTATACAATAATCAATCAAGATCAAATAATCAATCAAGATCAAATAATCATTCTAAAAAGTTGCAACTTCATTAGACCTTTTTCTTCCTTGACCTTCATGGTATATATATACATGACTTTTTTCTTCTTTAATGTTATGTATAGAAAAAATATTGACTGATAGCTGTCTCATATAATAAAGTTGTTGGACAGGTATTTTTAGCAAGCTTATCGTCTTCACATAGTCAAATGCCAATGATAGAATGTGCTCCTCATTTAAGCCATTTTCTGATGTTTCATGTTTTAAAGCATTGAAAAATTTATTACTCCTGTGCTTATGAACATCTAAATCAGTCTGCGCTGCTCTTTTAGCTACATTATTGAGATGTGGTGATTTTAATCTAAGATTCAATTCTTCACACGTGCAACAAGTATCCACTTGTGGGCGCCCAAACCATAAGTTAAAATTAGTTTTAAAATGGTTCCAGTAAAAAGACTTGCTCACTTTTAAATCTGGATTTTTTTCACAAAAAAGTTGCCACATTGTTTTTACATTTAAACTTGCATTGAGGTAATATACTTTTTTGCCTGAGTAATGTGATTCCTTGAGTGGAAATGATCTTATGTGATTACTAACAATGTCATGAACATTCTGAGAAAGACAATTAGTAATACCTCTACCTCTTTTATCTTCAGGATTTATTCCAATAACTTTAAGGTTCCTTATTCATAGGGTACTTTGGTGGAACTTCATTTCCCTTATGATTTATGTATGACTGTCCCATTAAACGTGCTTGTTTTATTTTCTTATGTTTGTACTCACAAGGATAACTTTCTTCCCTTTTTCTAGGACTTAGAATAACAAGGTCCATTAAAAATCTTATAATAGCAACAACAACATACGAAAAACTATTTACATTTTCTGCATATTGTGCCTAAATATACGAATCAGCTGAGAGCGATTTTTTTAAAAAGGGCGTATTTGAAGCAAATTCGTCTTTTTTAAAAAAATCGAAAACTTTTAGGTGGCTTTATTTGAGTAAGATGATAAAATTTAAACATATTTTTAACATAAACTGATGAAGCTATCATAGAAGAACACAAAACACATAAAAAGTGAATTTTTAAAAAAATGTCAAATCAGCCCTTTTAAAAAACACTGATTCAAATATGACATTTAAATTATTTAAAAAAATGTTGAGCGCGCTCATAATGAGTTTTAACTGCTTTAGCTTGGTTTCTTTTCACTTTTTCTGTGCAAAAAAAATTTTTTGCACAGAAAAGAATAGACTACGTGATTTTTGTTTTTTTATTTGACAGCTTTGTTAGTTAAAAAGTAACGCAGTAATTTTTACTCTGAGTGTATTTTTAATAAGCTACTTTTTACTTTTACTTGAGTAAACTTATCGACCGGTAACTTTTACTTGTACTTGAGTAAAATTTCACTCAAGTAACAGTACTTTTACTTGAGTACAATTTTTTTTTTAATTTTTCCACCTCTGGTTTTAGTCAAAGCTTGCATTATCTATTTTAATCATTCTTTTAAGTCTTTAAAATATATAGATTTTTTTTAATGCAATCTACACTTAATAATTTATTCAAGTGTGTTTAATTCTAAAAAGTTTTAGTATATTACGTCATTATTTTTTTGTTTTTAGAAAAATCAAAATAATTTTTTTCTACATACAATCAGCAAATCGCTTTTATTTGTATTATCTTAACCTCAATGTATATTTTGAAAAAAAAAAATTTAAAAATGTGGTACCTTTGTTTTTTAGCAAAGGTAGTAATAAATAAAATCTCTTTAAAAAAGAAAAGAAAAAGGAAACCTGTATGAATAAAAAAAAATCATCATTTAATAACATTAAAAATAACACATTCAATTTATAGCAATAAAATATCAATAAGTTAATATTTTTGATGCAAAAATTAGAAAAGAAAATAACTAAATATATTGTTAAGTAATTTATAAAGAAGAAAAAATATATATAAAAATTTCTAGTTTTTTTTTTTTTTTTTTTTCGAAAAATCTACAGAGAATTTGTTTTTATTATTTTTTTACTTTGTTTTTAGATTTCTTTTAATAGGAGGGCAAAAGGGTCATTTGTCTTCAATAGAATGGCAAAATAAAAACTTGGCATGTGAGGTTCATGCTGGCGAGGTTGTTCGTGATGTAAAGTAAATACTTTTGATTGTTTTTTAATTTTTTTTTGTTTGCTTTTATTATTTACTTTTATGGTTGTTTATTGTTGCTATTGTGATATTGTCATGGTTACAATGATATCTTTGTTATAAGGTGGTTGCATCAGGAAACCTTTTTTGCTGCAGCACAAAAAAAGTATGTTTTTATTTATGACAATCAAGGCACCGAAATTCACAGATTGAAGCAACATCGTGAAGTTAATAGACTTGAATACCTTCCATATCATTTCTTGTTAGCTACAGTTGTATGTATTTTATTCTCACTTTAATTTTTCAAACTTATTTTTTAACTTTTTTTGTTTTAACTTTTTTAAGTTATTTTATAAAAAAAAAAGGTAAATTAACTAGTAGTTTTATATGTTTAGGGTAATTGTGGGTAATTTTTATATGTTTAGGGTAATTGTGGTTTTTTAAAATATCAAGATACATCAACTGGTAAACTTGTATCTGAATTGCGCACTAAACTTGGTCGATGTGATTGCATGGCGCAAAACCCTTATAATGCCATCATTAACCTTGGTCATTATAATGGTTGGTAATGATATTTTTATTTAATGAAATATAAATTAAAATATATAATACCTTTCTCATATTTTTTCTTTTTTTCTATTATAATTTTATTTATCTATCTATTAACAGGTTTTTTGTTTGAATTTTTGTAAGGCAGCGTCACAATGTGGTCTCCAACTGTAAAAGAACCCCTAGTGAAGATGCTATGCCATCGTGGACCTGTTTTATCTATAGCAGTCGAAAAGAAAGGAGTGTTAGTGTTTAAAGCTATTTAAAAATTATTTAAGTATTATATATAACTTTTATAATTAAATAAAGTTTTTATTTGAATTTATTTAGTTTTAGTTCTGTTATTATATGTTTTATAAATAAAATTTAAATTTGTTCAAGTTCAATCTTTCGTATAAGTTTTATCTGCTAAATGAATAAATTTAACAAATATTCTAATTAAATCAAAATTAAAAAATTTAATAAAAAAAAAGTTACTTAATAAATCTACATAAAAAATTAAATATAAATATTGTTAAATATTTTTAAATAAATAAAATAGTATATGTTTATTTAGTTGAACAATTAATGGTTATAAACAATTGTGTTATAAACAAATTGTATTATGATTGTATATGAAAAGATTAAACATTTAGATATATGGCAACATCTGGTTTAGATGGTTTGATCAAAGTTTGGGACATAAGGAATTATAAATCTGTATATAAATACAGACTTCGTGGAAAACCTGCTCAAAGTCTTGCCATCAGCCAAAAGGGAATGTTGGCTGTTGCTTTTGGTTCAAAAATTCATGTATTTTATATTTATTCAATTTCATTATTTTTGTTTTATACTATTGGTTGGTCTGCTTTTTTATAAAGTCGTGAATTTTATGTTGCAAATCTAGTTTGTTAAGTCTTAAAATTAAGTTTTAAAGTCTTGTTTTAAATTATTGCTAGGTATTTCGAAATGCTTTAATGGAAATGCAACAAACTCCATACTTAACTCACATGTTACCTGGTGCTGATGCTACAAGTGTTCAGTTCTGTCCATATGAGGATGTTCTAGGCATTGGTCACATGAAAGGGTTTACAAGTCTTATTATACCTGGCAGTGGTGAAGCAAACTTCGATGCAATGGAAGCCAATCCATTTGAAACAAAGACACAAAGAAGGGAACACGAAGTTAAAATGCTTTTAGAAAAGGTAGTTACTATTTTGCTTTTGTTTTTTGTAAATTTTATTTATATAAATTTATGAAGCAAGTATAAATATTTGGCACTATTAATAAAGCTCTATTATTGAGGATGATCTTTAGATAATTGTATTTAAGTAAAACCAAAGATAATATTGTTTTAAATAATATAAATATGTATATAGATACAACCAGAGATGATATCGCTGAATCCATCTGATATATTACGAATTGACACGGCAGATGCACAAACTAAAAAATTAGAGAATGATGAGGGAAAGGTATTTTGTTCTTCTTTTTTTTTTTTAATAAAACAGTTGTGTCGAGTTAAAAATAAATTTAAAGCTGTCTGGATTTAAAATTATAGATTTTCATTTTTTCTATTAAAAAGTGCATTAAGAAATAAAATTTTAGATTCTCATTTTTTCCATCAAAAAGTTTAGAAATAAAATTAATAGTGCATTATAATTATGATTGAAAAGTAAAATATTGAAAATATTATATTCACGTTTTTAAAACAAAAACTTTATAATTTATTATTAAAATAATTATATTAAAATTATATTATATTAAAATTTATAAAGCTACTTTTTAAGATTATAGTTTTTAAATCTCTGAGGTCATTTAAAAAAAAAATCAAATATGGATGAGATAGGATACAAAAATTTATGTTTTGAGATACACAATACAAAATTTTATTTTTTCTCTGCATTTTTACTCTAAAGCAGTTTTCTACTTACACTCTATTTACCAAGCTCTTTAGCTAACTGAACTTCTGCTGTATGTTTTAAACATTGTTTGTTCAAAGATGCTTTAAGTTATCTATAAAATATCTATAGTATATATAATAGTTATCTATATTAAATATATATAATAATTGTATATATTAAATATATATATATATATATATATATATATATATATATATATATATATATATATATATATATATATATATATATATATATATATATATATATATATATATATATATATATATATATATATATGTGTGTATATGTATATAAGTATATAAATGTATAAAAACAGACACTGGTTAAATCATCAGCTCTACTTTTTTTAAACAAATTCATTTGCAACAAGACTGCAAGCAACCATGAACTAACTTGAAAGTTAACAGAAAGTAGAAAGAGTTAAGAAAGTAGACAGGCTTAAAAAAATAATTGTAGGAGTCAGGATAACATGAATACAAGAAAAAATTATTTGAAGAATATCTTGAAAAAGATATTGCTATTGAATCAGGCAAATTGCAAAGAATTGGTATTTATGCTGGTAGATCTGCAAAATGTAACACCTATTGGCAACTGTTAGTAAAATAACTACAGAAAAATTTTTTTAGAATAGTATTAACAATTTTTTAATAAAAACCTCAAAGCATTTACAAATACAAATACATTTGTATGCTCTAATTCTGTCACATTACTAGAATGCACATTTAGGAAGAAAAGAGAAAAAATTATTAGATGTTTGCGTTTGAAGGTTAGTTGCTACATCCACGTAATCCCTAATCCAAATCTAATGCTATAATTAGTTAGAAATACATTATATGATTTAGAGGTATTTTTGGTTTGTGAAAATGGACTAAATCCAAGTAAAATGGATTTAGTGTATTTGTCACAAAATGAAAGTTTGCTGCACATAATTTGAGAAGTTTAGTTGATGCAATTGACTTATAAAATTATAAAAAGAACCTCTACACTGCATCTGTTATACAAAATTGTGTAAATGTTGAAGACTTAAATTTCAATTAAATTATTGTAAGCTTTAATACTCATTATCACAAAAGGTTTTACATTTATCGCACTTTTTTTTTTTTTACCGCAAAATGTTTTACATTTATTACACATTTTTTTTTACCATAAAATTCACTTTATTTCCTTATATTTGTTTTGTTAATAATAATTGTTTAAAGTATTGTATTTGTTTTGTTAATAATAATTGTGTTTAAAGTATTTATTGTATTTGAACTTGTTATTTTACTTTGTAGTGTTAATTAACTTTTATTACGGAAAGGTAAAAATGAAATAATATCGATATTTAACATATTGAATTGTTAGGTTGTTGAAACATTTGAACCTAAGTTCAAGTTAAAAGGGAGAAGCTCCACTTCAAAAGTTGTTCAGCGAAAAAAAGGAGTTAGTGAAGTTTCAAAGCGGGTATAGTATTTTATATACAAAATATTTATCTTTATTTTTCTTAAATAACATAAGTGTTACATTGGAGATGTATAAATAAAATAAGTTAAAGTATAAGTATAAATTAAAGAAAGGATAAGAATAATACAAATTATAACTTTAACTAATTTAAAATTCATTTTATTTTTACAAGGTATTATTTTAGATTTTGCTGCATAAATAGTGGCATTTTTTCAAGAATTTTAAAATGAAATTTAGTTTAAATTAAAAAAAAAAAAGTTTTGTTATATTTTTGTAAAAATGATTATTAATTTTGAAACTTTGATGTCGTTTTGCTTCATTTGAGAACCAACATGTCACGCTTATGAAAAAAATTTGTTGGTAATTAATGAAGAATATTCGGTGACGTATTCGGTGACGTATTCGGTGACTATTCGGCCTATTTGGCCGAATACGTAATAAAATATTAAGTATTTTTTGTTTGATTGTTTTTGTTTATTTAATTTTTTTATTTTTTTATTTTCTTTTCTTACAAAACAGAGATAAATCATCACGTGCTACTAGATACTGGTGGTTTATCGGTATCAGGCAGCTTTTCACTGAGAAGGATTAACCTTTCACTGAGAAAGATTGTGATGTGTGTCACGCATCACAATCTTTCTCAGAGCGTTAATCAAATTTTTTTTGTTTTGTTCGTTTTTTCTTAATCCTAGAAAAATTAGTTTTATGTATTGAAAAAGTATAATACTTTTATACATAAATATCAATGGCCATTGGTCAGTTTATGATAAGTATGCAGTTTTGTTATATTTCGTTGGATCTTTTATTTGGTCAAACTATAATTGCTGTAGTTTAAAATTTTTTTCTTTTTCATTATTACCCGATTTATGGCAACAAATCAAATTTTCAAACACTTTTCCTGCAAAATGTCATCTTTGCACTTATCATAAATTGACCAATGGCCACAGATATAGGCAAAATAATTTGTTGTTACAGTCTATGAATAATGCGTGCTGTAACATAACCTAGTCCCAAATGAAACATAAACGCCTTTAGCATAGTCAATATATGCACTTCAATAAAGCATGTCAAAACTCTCAAGAAAACTGTCTCCCAATATTCTGCAGTCTAATATTTGGTACCTCGGCCAAGCACCTAATAAAATATTGGGTATTCGGCAAAACCATTAATGATGGCATCTCCATTGGTGATATTAACGACCTGCTAAATATTTAAAGGTCTTGTGCAACCCCTTAAAAAAAAATTTAAAACCAGTTCAATTAAAATATTATATTAATTATATATATATATATATATATATATATATATATATATATATATATATATATATATAACCTAAAAAAAGGGGAAAACTTTTAAATTTTAGATTTATTATGTTGTGATTTTTATTTATTTTTTTGCTTTTTTAGGACCAACTTAAACAAAAAATGCTTGACAGCAAAAGAAAAGAGCGCCAAAACATTGAAAGCAAGTCAGACAAATCTTCTGAAAATGTTAGTGCGTTAGATAGGTTTATCAAAAAACCGAGTGTTTAAATTTTCGGTTCTAGCCATTGTTAACGAACTTTATCAAAGTTAGGCCGATTTTAAATTGAAGTTGATTCTAACAAATGTGCACGTTCGAAACATATCAACTTCCTGATTCGAGACACTTCACAGGTATCAATATCCTAAAAGACTGCAAAGGGAGCAAAATATTTAAAACACTTTACATATAAATTACATATTTTGGTGGAATTAAATTGAAAATCAATTTTTTTAACTATGTTTAGTTTTGATATTATACAATAAAGTTTTGCTTAATTTTTTAAGGCTCTAACTAATACAATTGAAATATCCTTTTATTGATTCTTTGACTTGGTTTACAGTTATATATAAACTATAATAATAATTTGTGCTAATGAATCAGACTGAATCTAAGTGAAGATGTCAGGATTGTCTGTGGGTTTAGCACCAAACTACTAACTATATTATAACACCAACAACACTTGTAAAAATAAAAAGATATTAATATTTTTTGTTAAAATGTAATAAATGTTGCCTTAGTCAAATACCTGTTAAAAATTTAGAGCAATAAAGACAGTTGTTTTTTTTTTTTAATATATGACAACCATTTTTGTGAACGAGGTCACCATTTAACCATTCTTGTGAACAAGGTCACCATTTGGCATGTACGAAAAAACTTTTTGATTGAATTAAATGGAAGAATGGTTTCGCCGTCTAGTGAAGTTTGAACAGAATGTTTTTTAATAAAATCTAGTTTCGTGATGACTGATTCGTTTACGAAAAGCAAAATAAAATAGTCTCACCTGTTGTTTTACCATCTTTAAGTTCATCGTCATCGTTGAACCAGCAACAACTGCAACATAATCACAAATGATGATAGATTTTATTTTCATATTTAGAATCAGATGACTTCATTGCATCTTTCAAAAACTGTTGTGTTCAAGAAATCTCACAATGAGAACATAACGTAGTAGTTGTTTCACTTTCACGTCGACTCTGACCGCCTGCAATACTCTCACATTGTGGCATTATAGATGCTTCTACGAATAGCAGTTTCATCTGCTAGGGATTATTTCCGGCAGTAGATAACAGTTTATGTTTTCTCTGTTTTCTTTTCAGTGAACCAGATTTATGCAATTTAGAATTTCAAATACATAATTTATTAAAAATCGTAAACACTTTAAACAAATCATAAGTTTTACAATTTAGAACTTTTTGTATATACAAGGCGTGATATTTCATAATTACAATTGGCTATGCTTTTCCTATATCGGCCTTATTGTATACTTGCTGGTTGTTTGCTGGTCGAGGTAGTTTAAATCTTGATTGGTGGTGGATTGACGGTGCAACTGGATCATCACGTCATCTAAATTTAAATATTAGACAGCATGAAAAGCCAAACGTCCACATATTTGCGGCTGTTGTCTATGCCAAATGGAAATCTAAAAACCGTTTAAACAACGATTATAAAAGGACTATGAAATAACAATCGATTTTTTGAAGAAAGGTTCTTGAGTGAGTCATTACCATTGTACTTACCTTTGCAAAACTTTGCCTATCTTTTCGATATTTTTTTTTTTAAGGTTATTTAGAAGCTCGCAGAAGTCCTTACGGTCTTATCACGGAGCACCTTTTTCTTAACACGGGAGAACATTTAACTAGAAGTTCACGCCTCCTTCCTTACCAATGTCGCTAATTGGGCTAGAGCCGGCGTCGAACCTCAGACCTCTGGGTTCTGAGCCAAACTCTAATCACTGCGCCACAGCTGCTCGAAATAATACCAACGGGTAAACATGAAGGAAACTTTTAGGGTTTGGTTTCTATGCAAGGTAAATTTGACCCAATTTTACTAGAGGTCACACGTTTACATTCTCCACAAAGTATTTCATATAAAATTTAAATATACAAAGATACGAGACCAGGGCCATGATGGCTCCAGTGTAATGAGTGTAGGTGGAGCAAAAAAACTATTTGGAGATTTGATAACCTGTGTTATACATAAATACATTGTTCTTCTCATAACCTAAACTTAGTTGTTAAAGATGCGGTTGAAGCCATTGTACCAGCCATAATGTTTTTAGAAACAATAAGTCAGGTTTTCAATTTTTTGGCTTTGACTTTGTTCAAAATTTTTAAAAATGGAATTCTAAATTTCAATTTTAGGGGTTTAAAAATTTTATAAGGTCATAATTTTTGAACGTTAAGAGAATGTTTTACGAAATTTAGAACTGAAGAGCTTAGTACTTAAGTCACATAATAAATGGTTTGAAAAAATCTACTTTGATCAGAGATATAACACTTCAAAATAAGGATTTATAATGATTAAAATTTATTTTGTGACTTAAGTACTTTAAGCATTTGTAACTTCATTTTTTAAACTTCAAATTTTAAATTTCAAGCTCTTCAATTTATCGATGAATATAAATTCATTTAAGAATAGTAAAAAAAATATTTTGTCAACATGTTTCTTTCGTTCAGGTTAGTTGTGGCCAATATTTTAGGGTTTTTTTCAGTTCCCGGACTCCATTCTTCGCAATTTTTTGTAAAACATTCATAAATATAAATTTTAAAATATTCTAATATTATTTACATTATAAAAACGTAAATTTGTGGGATTTGTTCTAGAAGCTAGCATTATCTCAAACATCATTATAACTTTTTTCTTTCATTATAACTTTTAGTCTTCTATTATTTAAAATTGATTTAATTTCTTTTTTAACAAAGTGCCGAAAAAGAGAGTCGTAGTGTGTAAGAAAAAGAGAGTCATAAGTGTGTCAAAGTTCGGTATTTTATTACTTCGATATTTATTTATATGCATAAGGCAGTGTATATACTTATATACACTGGCAAAATAACAAAATTTTCTCAAACAAAACACCTTGAAACTTGTTTATTAAGCTCATATAATGCTCGATTAAGGTCATTTGTTAAAATTCCACATTCTTCACATAATGCTTATATTACTTCCCTGCCAATTAAGAACATCTGAAATGCAAAAATAAAATTTCTTTAGATAGTGTTGAATATGAGTCATTATGAAATTTAACACTTGTAAAAGAATCATGAAAGTCTTATATAAAGGATAATTAGTCCTAAGTCCAGACGAACATAGTAATATATTAGCACACTGTCCAAATATTAAACAGCTTTTGATAAATACCTCAAAATCTATTTTTCTGCACTTAGGTTGTTAACAAACAAGAACATGTTCTTGATTGGATAGGCAGAATAATGATTCGTTGTTGACTCCTAATGTTTTTTTATATTACCTTTTCTTAGCAGATATTAATAGATTTTTTTTGTAATTTTGTTTCTCAAATTTATAGATTTTATTTGACAATTTTTCTAATGCATTCAATTTTCTATCCCGACAAACGATTGCAAAATTTAAGGTTTTTTTTCAATACTCTTTTTTTTTTTTTTTTTATTTGCATTCACTCCCAACAAGGCTGCAAGCAACCACTATTAAGTTGGGAGTTACTAGGAAAAAAAAAAGAACAGAGTTATAGAGCAAGGAAACGGTTGACAGAAGACTTGAAAAGTTGAAGGTTGTATGAGTCAGGAAAACATGAAGATGGGAGAGAGTTCCAAAGGATTGAAGTGCGGGGAAAAAAACTAGATGAACAAAAGTTTTTAGAGCATGCAGGGACAGATAAAGTAAACGAATGAGACTTAGCTGAATGACGAGTAAAACGAGAATGAATTTTAGTTGATGGAACTAGAGATGATAACTCCTTTGAGCAGTGACCATGATAGTATCTGTAGAAAAGAGAAAGAGATGCAACTTTACGACGATGGGAAAGAGGTTCAAGCTTAGCAGATAGTCCAGGTCCAACAACATTTACAATGCGTTTTTGGACCTTGTCAAGAAGAGAAAGTGAATCGTTAGAAGAACCAGCCTAAATATGACAACAGTATTCCATACAGGGACGAATAAGAGATTTTTAGAGGTAGAGAATGGAATCAGAAGTAAGGAAATGGCGAGCACGATAAAGAGAAGCAACTTTAGCAGAAGCTAATTTAGCAATCGATTGTATATATGTTTTCCATGAAAGGTCAGTAGTAAGCGATAATCCAAGAAGACGTAAAGAGGAGGACTCAGTAAGAGGATTGCCATTCATAAATATAGGAATGTTGACCATATTACGGTAGTTGTTTGCAGTAAGCAATTGGGTTTTTTTAGAGTTGAAAATTACTGAAGTGAGATCAGATTCAAGATCAGCTGCTTGTTCTAGGCGATCGAAAAGAGAAGACTTTTTGTCAAGACAGGAGTATAAAGTTGAGCAAAAAGTGCTACTTTAGATGAAAGGTTGTCAGGGAGATCGTTTATGTAGATAAGAAACAAAACAGGGCCCAGGATGGAACCTTGGGGAACCCCAGAAGTTACTGGAAACAAAGAAGAGTGTTGGCCTTCAAGGATGACTTTAATAAACCGGTTAGAAAAAAATGATTTGATAATCTCAAAAACTTTCCCAGAAACACCATATGAAGCAAGCTTATGGAGAAGACCAGCATGCCAAACTTTGTCGAAAGCTTTAGATATGTCGAGAGCAATAGCCCTAGCCTCACCGCCTCCATCTAATGCACAATAAAATCTTTCAGTTACAGCAGTTAGCAAGTCAGCCGTAGAGCGAGAGGATCGAAAACCGTATTGATTGTCTGACAGCAGTTTATTTGACTCAAGATGAGATGTGAGGAATTTGTTGATCAAAGACTCAAAGACCTTGCTAATAACAGAAAGAAGACTGATCGGACGATAATTGGAGGGGTCAGAATTTTCTCCAGAGTTTTTGAATATTGGAATCACAGATGCCATTTTCCAACAAGCAGGAATACAAGACTCAGTCAAACACTTGTTAAATAGTTTAGAGAGAGTTGAAGAAAGTTCTGGAGAACAATTCTGCAAGACTGTGACAGGAATGTTGTCTGGACCACAAGCTGTAGACGAGTTTAATTGAGATATGACTTTAGCAACAGAAGCCGGAGTGATTTGAATGTCTAACAATGGGTCAACCTGTTTGACTGGAATGGAAGGAAGAGAATGTCCATAAGATTCAAGAGTGAAATTAGAAGAAAAGTTCTTTGCAAACAGTTCTGCCTTATCCCTGGGAGAGGTAACAAGGCAACATATATATATATATATAGTCCCATGAATGAGAGATGGAATGTTAGATCTACCCTTGTTAACAATGCTGTTGAAGATTTTCCAAAAGTCTTTAGAGCCTAACTTCTGCGATAAGATGCGAGATTTAGTGA